AAAAAAAAATTAAAATTAAACTCTCTCCCTCCCCCTTTATCTTGATTTCTACTGCCCCCCAAACTTGATATTTTTTTTTGTTGGTTTTTTATTTTATTGTTATTTTCAAGGTATGATTCATTTTTTTGGTTTTAATATAAAAATACCATTTTACCCTTGTATTTAACAGAAAAAGTTAACAAAATCGACGGCATGACCATTCATCCTAACGAAAGTGAAGTTAAAGGACCACTGGAATTATTTTGGAAATTGAAGGACCAAAATGCAAATCAGGTCTAAATTCATGGATTAATAAAACGATTAACCCATTTATATTAATCATTTTTTTTTCAAAGGTTTGGGAATGGAGATTCTGTGATTCTTCATCACCTTCTTCTTCCTTACTGACTTGGAATTTCATTGAAAACAAAGATTCAATTTTTTATATTTCTTATAGACTCAAGATTTATTTGTTTTTTATTCATGCTGTTAAGTTGAATGAAGAAGGTCTTCCTATATTTGATGAGCAAATAGGTCAAGGTATAAAAGATGGAGTCAATACTCTGTTTTATACGATAATTGAACACTTCGTCAAAACCCCTAGTAATACTACTGCTAGGATCCATGATCAACTCAATAACCTCAGATCCCTAAGTTGTCAGATTTTAGATGGTATAAAGATATTTTTATTTCTAGAGTCATGCTTAGAGATGATAGTAATCAACCATTTTGGAAAAAAAAATTTGTTAATGGTCTTCCAAACCTGTTTGCCCATAAAATCCGAACTGTCCTCAATAATGAACAAGGTCAAATTTATTGGAATAGTTTAACTTATGGAAATATAATAAGCACAATAAATCAAGTTGGAATGAAAATGTGTGTAGATTTTAAAATCAGTAAGCAAATACAGTCAGACAAAAAATCAGCCAAGTATGAGTTAGGAAATTTCTGCGAACAATACGGTCTAACTAGTATTCCTCCTTCCAGGAAAAATATGTCTAGTTATCCTAGGAAAAGTCGTCCTTATTCACGTAAAAAAACAATCCTTCCGGCATAGTAATGATAATAATGAGTTCTATAAGAAAAAGAAATTTTACCCTAAGAAAAATTGGTCTAGAAAGCCCAAAGATGAGAAAAGCAATCGCTTTAAGAAATCCTATGAAAAGAAAAATGTTAAATGTTGGAAATGTCAAAAGAATGGTCACTATGCCAATGAGTGTAAAGTAAAAGATACTATTAAACAGTTGAAAATTACGGATGAAGAAAAAGATAAATTAATTAAAGTTCTAGAATTAAGAAACTCTGAGTCTAGTGAAACTAAAACCATAGTTGTTAGTTCTGAGTCAGAAAATTGGTCGTCTTCAGATTCTCGGTCTAGTTCACCTCAAGTCCAATTAGGTTGCAAAGATAAATGTTGCAATAGGTTGAAAACCTTTTCTGTCCTCACTAAACAAGAAGAACAAGAAGAGTTGCTAATTGATTTGATTAGTAAAATTGAAAACCCATAATTGAAATCTGAATACCTAAAAAAATTAAGAAAAGTTATTAGCCAAGAAAGACCAAGTTTGTCTATTCCCCAACCAATTAGTCTGAATACCACAATAGAAAAGTTTAACCGAAAGAAAGATGTCACCTTACAAGATTTACAGTTAGAAGTCAAAACAATCAAAAAGGAAATAGTTGAGTTAAAAGAGATGAGTCGTAAACTAAAAGTTGAAAATTATGCCATTAAACAAGATTTAGTTAATTTAATGGAAAAAGAAAGTTATGAGTCAAGAAGCTAGCCAGAAAGTCCAAATAACTCAGACAGTGAACCCTCAAACAAAGAGCAGACAGTTAATCTAATTATACAAGTCAATTTCAGAAAATGGTATTCTAAAGTTACAATATTTGTCAAAAAATTTGAGTTTAGTACAGTTACTTTATTTGATTCAGGAGCCGACCTTAATTGTATTCAGGAATGTCTAATCCCCACTAAGAATTATAAGAAGTCCAAAGAATTCTTAAGCACTGCTTCAGGAAAGTCACTTCAATTGAATTATGAGATCCCTAAAGCCCATGTCTACCAAAATAAAATTTGTTTTAAAACCTCATTTGTCTTAGTCAAAAACATCACTGACGAAGTCATTTTAGGTTTGCCTTTTATTGCCTTATTATATCCTTTCCAGGTAGAATATGACGGAGTTACCTCTACCCAGTTAGGAGAGAAGGTTAAGTTTGAGTTTTTGTCAAAACCTGAGTTGCATAATTTAAAAGCCCTTAAAAAAAGTTCAGTCTCAAAGTCTGTCAGAATAATTCATAATAAGAACAATCAGTTGAAATTTCTTAAAGAGGAAATTAATTTCAAAAGAATTGAACAACAGCTTAGTTGTGAGTCATTCCAGCTGCAAATTTAGCGATTTGAAGATAAGTTTAAAAATGAAATATGTTCTGATTTGCCTAATGCTTTTTGGTATAGGAAACAGCATGTTGTTAGTCTGCCTTATATCATAACCTTTAGTGAGAAAAATATCCCCACTAAAGCCAGACCAATCCAAATGAGTCAAGAAATAATGGAATTCTGTAAGAATGAAATAACTGAGTTACTCCAAAAAGGAATAATTCGTAAATCTAAGTTGCCTTGGTCTTGTCCTGCTTTCTATGTCCAGAAAAATACTGAGTTAGAAAGAGGAGTCCCAAGATTAGTCATCAATTATAAGCCCCTTAATTCAGTCTTAGAATGGATTAGGTATCCCATACCTAATAAACGAGATCTAATTAATTGGCTAGAAAAAGCAGTTGTCTTTTCTAAGTTTGATATGAAGAGTGGTTTCTAGCAAATCAAAATAGATGAGTCAGATAGGTATAAGACTGCATTTGTCACTCTCTTTGGTTATTATGAATGGAATGTAATACCTTTTGGTTTGAAAAATGTGCCAAGTGAGTTTCAGAACATCATGAATGAAATATTCAATCCTTATAGCCATTTCTCAATTGTTTACATTGATTGATGTCCTAATCTTTTCTCAGTCGATAGAACAGCATTGGAAGAATTTGCACAAGTTTCTTCAAGTAGTCAAAAACAATGGCCTAGTTGTCTCTGCCAAGAAAATCAAGTTGTTCCAAACCAATGTTCGCTTCCTTGGTTTCAATATTTGTCAGTCACAAATTAGTCCAATTGATCGAGTCATCCAATTTGCTGATAAGTTTCCTGACCAAATTCTTGATAAGAATCAACTCCATAGATTTTTAGGATCTCTTAATTATGTGTATGATTTCTATCAAAATCTGAGAAAACAATGTAAGCCTTTATTTGATAGGTTGCAGAGTAATCCTCCTCCTTCATCTTCTGCTCACACAGAAATCATCAAACATTAAAATTCTTCAAGCAGACCATAGTTACTTTCGGTTACTTTAGTTAAAAAGGCTGAGTTAGTTTCATCTATAAGAGGAGGCTTCGACCTCAGTTGTAAGCATAATACAATTTAGTTTTCAGTTTTTAGAGCTTTCCTTGAGATTTCCTCAAGCAAGCCATCAGTCCTAAAAACCAAAGACTATGTATCCTCCTCATTGAAGTCTTCAGAGTTAAGCCTTTCAGTGAGTATAAATAAATAAAAGTTGCTATTTTCAAATATCTTTATTTTAAGTATTTTGCATATATGCATTAATTTGAAGTATCATCATGTTCTTATTTTCCATGTTGATATTTTTATTAATAAGATTCATGCATAAATTGCGTTTATTCTTGTATGTCTGCTTCATCACTATCTTTGCTATATATATATAAAAAGCAAGGGAGCGTTGGTTTAAATTTAATAGAGTTTACTATTGTGGTAGATAATAATCTAATTTGGATAAGGTCAACCACTATATATTATCCTTCAAAATTACATTAATGTAAAACAACAAAAAATTATACTTTTTAAACAAATTCATTTAAATGGCAATTTTCTTCCGAGTGAGTCACCTTTTTGGAGGCCAACTCAGGTGGCGCTCCGATTAAAATCCGGCGGCCAGCCACAGCACCAAGGACCAACTATGGCGACCGACCACCTTGTTTGCCCAACTCCATTGCCAATCTACCCTGTCGGCGACCGCCTCCTCTAAACTCAAAGGAGGAAACCTCGATCCCATACCACTACACCAACTTGTTTGTGTGATAGAGTTGCAAAATATTAATATTACAAGTAAATTTTTTTTAAGAAAATATTCATTTTAATACCGATTTGAGAACCATTTATGCAAAAGCTCTCATGCTCTCTAATTCTACATAAATATATCAATTTAAATTTATAAAAATTTACAAGTTTTAATCCTTTTAAATAATATATATACACACACACAAAGCTAACGACGCGCAACAATTAGAATTTGTTCTTTAATTTGTGACTTGATTGTGATTTTACTATTTGGCTTTAGAAACAAAAATCATCATTATTATCATTTGTTTAAGAGTCTCATCAATAATTTAAACCACAAAAAAAAAACAATTAAATACAAATAAATAAAACTCCATGTACAACAATCACAATTGGGTTAGGTTTATACAATAGAAACTCCAATGCAATGTATATTTTTATGTTACTCATATTGGTAATTTTAGACTAATAAAATATAAATTGCAATGTAGTGTGTATTTTTACGTTACTCTTATATTGGTATTTTTAGAATTATACAATAGACACTACAATGTAGTGTGTATGTTACTCTTATATTGGTATTTTTAGGTTTATAGAATAGAAAATGCAACACATTTTTTACTTTTATGTAACTCTAGTATTTGTATTTTTTTAGGTTTATAAAATAGAAACTGCAACGCTTTGTGTTTTTCTTATTATGATACTCTAGTATTTGTATTTGAAGATTGGGTATTAGATATAACTATCCTTACTAATTATTATTTGAGACATAGAGTATTTTTGTTTGGGTTTTAATACTTAGGAATCAAATTTTGCTTTGGATTAGGCCAAAGAGGAGGCCCAGATTTATTGGCACAACTTAAAATAATCACTGAAAGGACAATGGTATCATTCTTCTTTAAAATGATTGGTTCTTTGAAGAGGATTGGAAATTTGTTGGGTAAGTTACTTAAGATTGACACTCTGACTACTACTCAGAATAGGGGTAAATTTGCTCGACTATGTGTGGAATTGGACCTCACGAAACCTCTTGAGGCTTTTATTCAAATTAATCAAGTGTGGTATAACATAGAGTATGAAGGTCTTCCTGATATATGTTATTTGTGTGGCCATTATGGTCATAAAAGGGAGCATTGTACTTCGAAAGAGAAGTTTGCTTAAGACAACCTGGGGCAGACTCGTCTACAACTGGTCTGAAGGTGGGTGCAGATATTGTTATGGGTTAGGAAGAGAATAGTAAGGAGCTAGAAAATCTTCGAGGTACATGGATGAATGTCCTACCAAGGAGGCGACCAAAGAATATGTCTAAGGGGACGGGTAATCAAGGATCTGGCTCTAAGAACCAAGGCTCTTGATTTGATGCTTTGAGGAAGGTTAGTGAAGATTTTGGCTTTAATAATGTTGATTCTGGTGGTATGGCAATTCAAGGGACTACAAGGAAGTCTTATGTTTCTAAAAATGGTGCTAGTTTTGAAAAGAAAGTTTGGACTAAGGCTAGGCAAACTAATGTTGGAAACAGGGCTGTGCTTAGTGATATTTCTAAACAACCTGGTAAGTCAAGGGCTTCAGGATTATTTGGTGGTAAAACAAATTTGGGTTTCTCTGGGTTTTCTAAAAGTAGTGTGAGCAATAAAGGCATGAAGGTTGTGGATGAGAGCAGAGCTTTTGTTTTCGACTCTGTGAATGCTTACATGGATTCTTGGGGGAAGGGTCAGAGTTTGTACCAGGAGAAGGCTGTCTATATATTTGGACATCAACCTCCAAATATAGCTAATAATGGTGATCATCATGGAAAGGATTGTGATCCTGAGGATGATGAGGATTATGTTGCTTCTTCTCTTCATGATGGTTTGCTTTTTGATGAAGGGATGGATATCTCAGCAGGTAAGGTGAATGATTCCAATGGGAATGTGGTAAGAAATGCCTTCAACGATGTTGAAAATATGCCGTTTGGCTTTTGATTGTAGGGTTTAGCTCTTGAGGTTTCTTTTTCTGTTGTTTGTTTGTTGATGGATATTCTATATTGGAATGCTAGAGGTGCACCTTGCACTAAATTTAGATACACTATGATGGAATTGATTCATGTTCATCGTGTTCATATTTTGTTTTTTTGTGAGCTAAGAATTGTGGGGGCAAAAGCCCTTGATGTGGTGAAGTCGCTGGGGTTTTTGTGCTTTGAGGTGGTTGATTCCATTGGTTTTTTTGGTGGTCTTTGGCTCTTGTGGAATGATAGTAAGGTCAGAGTTGAAGCAATTGGTACTATTAATCAAACTATTTCTGCTTCTATTGCTTGGCCTGGTCAAAACCCTTGGTTATTTACTGCAATTTATACCAAGTTTGTAGTTCTAAGAGATAAAAGTTATGGGACTACCTGAATTTTGTTTCTGAATGTCACCAGTTGCCTTGGATTCTTGCTGGGGACTTTAATGACATGCTAAATTATGATGATAAATTAGAGGGAGCTCCTCTTTGTAGACTTAAAGGTTCAGAAAGTGGTTTGATGATGATTGATCTTGGGTATTCTGGTCCTAAATTTACTTGGAGTAATAAAAAAGTTTTGGAAGAATTGATCGAGCCGTTTGTAATGTACAGTGGCAAAGGCTTTTTGCTGAAGCTTTTGTTAAGCATTGCTGAAAACCAAATATGACCATTGTCCTATTAAGATAAGCCTCGAGTCTAGCTTCTCTTCTTCTCTTAATTTGCGACCTTTTCGGTTTGAGGCTATGTGGTTGGAACATGACCACTTAAAGGATTTTCTTAATCAGCAATGGGCTCTTATTGATGGGTCTGTTTTGGATAAAACTTGTGCTTTGGTGAAGCCTTTGTTGCTTTGGAACTCCACTGTTTTTGGGCACTTAAGGCAAAGGAAGGCTAGGCTTTTAGTTCGTTCGGCTGGTATCCATAAAGCTATTTGTCAAGGCAGTAATTTTTTCCTTGATACCTAGAAATCTTTCTTATTGATAAGTATAATGGTGTCCTTGAGAAAGAGGCATTGTTTTGGCAACAAAAGTCTCGTGTGAAGTGGCTGCAAGAAGGTGATCAGAATACAAAATTCTTTCACCTCGCCACCTTAATAAGAAGAATAAGAAACAAGATTGAAAGATTGAAAGGTGATAATGGGGAGTGGATTGAAGGAGTTGTTGGTCTTAAGGAGCTTGCTGTTAATTATTTTTTGGGGTTGTTTGCTCAGGAGCAACGTAACTGCATCAGTTGGGATCTTATCCTAATTTGTTTTCTATTATTGAGGCTATTGATTTGGCCAATCTTGTAAGAAGTATTGATTTTCTTGAGGTCAAAGAGAGTTTGTTTCATATTGATGGTCTAAAAGCCCATGAAGTTGATGGTTTTCCTGCTTGTTTCTTCCAAAATCAGTCAAGCTTTTGTTTCTTGCAAGATTCCAGAAGGTTTGAACTCTATCTTGATCACTTTGGTTCCTAAAGTTGATAATCCTTCTTCCATATTGCATTTTAGGTCCATTAGTCTGTGTTGTACCTTATATAAAGTCAATTCTAATGTTTTGGTTGCTTGACTGAGGCCTATTATGCTTGTTTTGATCAGCCCCAATCAGGTCAGTTTTGTGCCTGGGAGCCACATTACTGACAATGATAGGACCCGTCCCATATTCCCCCCCTTGGAATCCGTGACGAACTCTGTTTCTGTCAGGCATTTGCCCAATGCCAGGCCCACTTACTAACATAACCATTTCGCCCTCGATTTATACAAAAATTGGGTCGAGATTTCAACCGAAATTTCGGCAAAATCTCCCTTGAAAAATGGATATTCCCAAATTATAAATACCTTCAAATAAGCGATAAATAATCCAAATAGCAGCACACACAATTTACAACATAGGCCTCTGGCTTCAAAATTGAACCTTACATGGGCAATATTAGAGCTTTCTACAAAACTTTAATTTATAGAAGTATTAGGAGTTTAAAAATGAAAAAAATGAATATACTACAAGAAATGGCGTGTGCTGTACAGAATACTTGACGTGGACCAGTGAATCTCGTTGAGATATAGCTTGGGGGGGTTCAAAACAGGAAATTGGGAGTGGACAAAAATAAAGTTTATAACATAAATTATATTTGAACATACTAATCCCACCGTTTAGAAAAACGATGTAAACTATGCAATAAAATCCATTTTTATCCATATACCATTTGATACTTGAAACATTTAAATTCTCATCACACACACACACACACACACACACACACACATCAAGAGATATGTACCATGGAAAACAATCCAATCTGGGGATAATTTATTCTCAACCACATGTCGGGATCCTGCATCTTACAAGTGGCTAGGGATGAGCAATCCAACCGAGGGACTATTGCTCCATAGCACGTACACCGGGACCTTCATCGCATATGCAGCTGATCCAATTATACGCGTAGACTAACATATTGACACACCTCCCAAAAAGTATATGTGTGCCCTGATGGGTCCCAAAGACCAACTATAATTCTTTTCTATGATTCTATCATCCTTTTCATAACGAACCAGGGGAAGGTACAATACATAGTGTCTAGTCACACAAATCCCATATCCCAAACTATATATTTATACTCATATTAATAATACCCAATATCCTTCATGCGTAATCAAAGTACAACATAAAATCAATAGAACTTCACAACATCCCAATTCCAGTAAAACACATTTCAACCCAACCAGAACTTAGTTATGCATGCACTTGCCAATATGAAAATATTCATTTGAAAACAAAGGCCACTCACAACTAGTCCGAAGCAAACTCAACCCTTAGAGGGTTCTTCCGATTGTCATACGATAACCAAATTTGAATCTGAGCATATCATCAAGCTTGGGACGACATGAAGATCAATTCAGAACACAATGGGCCACACACCATGGCCCACATGTCAGCACATGCGCTGGCAGCGCGTGGGTGGCTTGAGAAATTTTCAACTTGGTTTAGGAAGTGGTCGGAAAATGCATTCAAAAACTGGGATTTTCTAGGTTTCAGATTGAGTTTAAAAACTTCAAAATCGATCCTAACCGACCAAACCATCAGCTAGAGCACGTTGAGTAGGTGGATAAGCATACCTGGATCAACAAAAATGGTGGTCAAAATTGTCAAAAAATGACAATGGAAATTTTCAAAGGAATCGGAGCTTTCTCGAGCTCTCCCCAATGCTGGAGGGGCTGGGTTCGTCAGAGAAGGTGGGGGACGGGAAGAGAACATCTGGCTGGTTCGAACAGTTGTGGTCTCGTAGCCTAGGGTGACCGGACGACGAAGATATGGCAATCGAAAATTCTGGCTGTACTCGGTGGAGAAAGAGAAATGAGAGAAAAATGCGTGAGAAGAGAGAGAACAAACCGGTTTTTTTTTATAAAAATCCAACTTCAAAAAATTTACAGTTGTGCCACTGCACTTCCGTTGACCATAACTTCTTCGTTAAAACTCCAATTTAGGCTTACTACGTATCTACAAAGTCGTATCGATGAGCTCTAGGCAAAGGAACCACTCAAATCCCAAAAATCCTTACAAATCAAAAAGTGACTAAAGTACCCCCACTCCCAAGGGCAAAAACGTAATTTCACAATTAATTAAATCATTAACTAATTATTTGGAACAGAGTGTTACAGACAACATCCTTATAGCTCAAGAATTAATGCACAAGTTTAGGAGTGCGAAGGGGAAAAAAGGTTTTATAGCATGGAATATTGACTTATCTAAATCTTATGACATATTGAATTGGCAGTTTATTGAGTTTGTGCTCAAAGAGGTTGGGTTGCCTCATTCGATTGTCCAATTAATTATGCATTGTGTTTCCTTTGTTAATATCAGGTTTGTGTGAATGGTAAGCTGACTGAGCCTTTTATTCCTCAAAGTGGCAGTAGACAAGAAGATCCACTCTCTCCTTTTCTTTTTGTTCTTTGCATTGAAAAGTTGTCCCACATTATTTTTTATGTTGTTAGAAGAAAGAAGTGGAAGCCAATCAAATCGTGCCAGTCTGGTCTTATGGTCTCACACTTATGTTTTGCAGATGATTTGGTTCTTTTTGCTAAGGCTACCTCCCAACAAGCTAAGGTGATGAAGGGTTGCTTAGAGTTGTTTTGTATTGCCTCTGGTTAGACTGTAAACTTTGATAAATCTGTCGTTCTTTGCTCTCCTAATACTTGTATGGAGGTGGCTAAGGAAATCAGTTTCATATGTGGTTCTCCTCTTACTGAGAACTTGGGGAAGTATTTGGGGATGCCTATGCTTCATTCAAGGATCACTCAGACTACCTATGGTGGGCTGGTGGATAAAGTTCATAGTAGGTTGGCTTCTTGGAAAAGCAAGTTGTTGTCCTTGGCAGGGAGATCTACTTCAATCCAAGCCGTGGCCTCTACGATTCCTATCTACACTATGTAGACTGCTAAGCTTCCTATAAGTGTTTGTGAGGAGCTGGATCAGATTAATAGGAATTTTTTCTGGGGAGGTAGTGAGAAAAGGAATAAGGTTCACTTGTGTCAATGGGAATCAAGAAATCTCATAATATGAAACAAGCCCTTTTAGCTAAGGTCGAGTGGAGATTGTTTTAAAAGGATGAAGGTTTGTGGCCCAAGATTTTTTAGGATAAGGATCTCAAAGGTCATTCCATTCTTGAAACAAAGTCAATCTCTAGGCAAGGTTGTTCTTCAACCTGGAAAGGTGTTGATGTTGATCATGTTTCTCATTTTTTTTCAAACATGGTGCGATGTGGATAAACTTCTCATTTTTCTTGCTAAGGATACAGTTCAAAGAATTATTTCTTTGGCTACTGACTTTGGTGGGAGGTTTGAGGATATTTGAATTTGGCAATCTACTACTAATGGGAGTTTTACTGTGAAATCTGCTTATAATTTGCCGTTTAAAGGGCCTGACTGGTCTGACCCTTGGTGGAAAGTTCTATGGTTGGTGTATCAGGGAAAAATCCTGTCTAATGAACAACGTGTGAGAAGACATCTTACCTTTAATTCTACTTGTCAATGTTGTGGTTGGCCTATTGAATATGTGCTTCATATTTTGAGAGATTGTATTAAGGCTAGGTATGGTATCTTCTCCTTAAGGGCAGTGGAGTTGCGAGGTTTTTTAAGGCTGATTTTAAAGCTTGGTTTTAAGTAATTTGTGTTCTAAGTCTGTCTATGGTCATCAACCTTGGCAAGTGGTTTTTGTGTTTATCTGCTGGTATATTTGGAAATGGAGAAACAACAGAGTTTTTAATGCTGAAGCAGAGTTGCCTTTTCATCCTAAAAGGATTAGGAAGCTTTAGTTTTAAAACACAATATAGTCTATTAATTTGGAGGATAGGAATACAATTTTATCTAATTAGCATAAGACCAAAGACTAAAATGTAGTACCTAATTTTACAAAAATATCTTTAAAAAATATCAAAATTACACACAATGCCACTCCTTCTAAGGCAAGCAGTGGCATACTATGCCACATGTCCACATCTAGCCACCCTCCTCCACCGCTGGATGTCTGCTGTCGGCCAGCCGCTGGTCAGTCGCCGGCCACATACCGTTGCTAGCCGCCACCTTTTGTAGGGGACCAACTCTGTTTTCCTTTATTCACCTTTGAAAAGAAAAGATTTTGTATCATTGAAGCAACTCGAACCTTGACTCTTAAAGGAGGAGGGCTCATTCACAAACCACTACACCAAACTTGATTTTGTAATATTTATTTAGTTATACAATAATTATATAAACAATCAACAGTTTTTAAAATTAAAAAAAAAATCATTTCAACACATAATCATACAAAAACTGCAAATAAAAGCAGAAACTGCAATAAAAATACAATGTAGATATTAATTATGTAAAAAAACAAAAACAAAAACAAAAACAACAATTAATTTTATAAAAGCAAAATGGAGGAACGAAGATGAAAGTACTAAAATGGAAACTACGATGCAGAAACGAAAACTGCAATGTAGAAGTGGAAACTGCAATATAAAAATAGAAACTGCTATACAAAAATGGAAACGCAATGCTGAGTCTGGGCAAAAATGCTTAGCTCTAGAGTTAAACAAAACAAAATAATATTTAATTATTTATTCAAGACATGTTGGGAGAGGGGGAATCAGATTGAAGACCACCTAGAATGTAAAATAGGTTATTTATGTTTTTGTTTTCTGCATTGCACATTCTGTTTTCTACAATGCAGTTTCCGTTTTCTGCATTGCAATTTCCATTTTCTGCGATGCAATTTCCATCTTCTCTTGCCTACCCAATTCCTCATATGGGTAGCCTCTACTTTTTAAATTGGTGAGGTTGAAGGCCAAGGAAATAGCAAAAATCCAATTGTAATTATAAAAACCACAATGTAGTTTGTGCAAAACTACAATGCAGAACCTGTATAAAATTTCACTGAAGTAAAGCTTAAATGGTATTGTATAAAATATAATATGACAATGATGGCATGAACCATTTCCAAATCAAGACAAATGCATAGTAAGTGAGCTTTATAATAAGAAGTTGCAGCTAAATTAGATCATTATATGGCCTCATTGAGGCATTTTATTGAACATTTGGTGGGTAATTTGTAAGGCTAATGTAGATCCACCCCTACTGAAAAATAAAGAAACATAATGATGCAAGTAGAAACGAAAAATAGAGACATGGAGAAAAATAAATAAATTTAACCCATACCTTTTTTAAAAAGCTTATAGAAAAAATTCCCGAGAAAGAAACCTTCACAAGATAGAATAATGTAATGTTAACAAAGACTGAACCTAAAAGCCAGACATTCAAAACCTGTGGAAAAGAGGAAATCTGAAAACAACTCAATCATAAGTATGCAATATGCATATTTGCAGCATACCTTATCAATATCAAATCCTTCGGGAACGAGAATGCTAAATGGATCCTCTCATGGAAACGTATCAACCATGCGCTTTTTGCATTCCTTCAACCATCCTTCACCATCATACCCATCATGTATATTCAAAAGATCATTGAGCAATCTCATGGCAGGAGTAGCCTCCCGTTTCAAAATCTCAGCCTAAAATGTCTAGTAAAACTTAGATTTTGTGATTTTCTTTCCAAGAATGGAAAAAAGAAGCAAAATAAGATTATACATAAAGAGCTTAAAGGGTAGTTTAAACTAATTCTGCAAGATATTCTAGGCTGAAACCATTCAGTAATCACAACAGCTCAAAATTATCCCACTAGTAATGAAATCAAAAGTATAACAAGATAACAGCTAGTCCAAAATGCTAAAATCAACAATTTCATAGCTAGAACTTAGAATAGGATGAGAGAAACTCATACCTCAACCCTTCTATATAACAAATCAAGACTTCTAATAACATCCTTTTCTTCCTGTAAAAAGGTCATAAATATCTAAAATCAATAAGCTGGAAAGAGGGAAAAAGAACAATGAGGAAATGTGAGAGATTAACGATGAAAATGTTATTATAGATTATCTATAACATTAGACTTATCCGAAACTACTCGTTAGTTTGAGTTTGCTTACCTCAAGCTATCAGCAAGGCTTTGCCAGTTTATTGAAGCCAACTACTAACTTATAGGATATGAAAATAGCATCTTCATTTCTAGCACTAAATCAATCTTTTAATAACTATCCTATACCAATCTTGTGAAAGGAAATATATTACATTTTTCTTTACCAAAATTTTGATATTATTTTCCATTGCAAAACTTTGAAATCTGAGCTAGTGATATGCTTAAAACCTTAGACTCACATACGGTACTGAAGATAAATGTTGCTATGCCAGGCAATAGAATGATTAACAAGGAAAATGTTAAAGACACTCCACGATTAACTTACATCGCGTCGAGCGAGGTCAAGACCATTCCATATGACCATCAAAACAAGTTCAGTCAATTTTCCTTTCTCAGTAGCTTCCTCAATTTTCTGAGCTGAAGTAGGAAATTTCAACAGTTTGAGCTGAAGTAGGAAATTTCAACAAAGCATACATAAGGAATTGAAAGTGTTCACAGTTTCTGATATTTCCTCTTCCACTTCTTCGGCCACTCTGATAAAGCTGGAAATCAATTTCCTAGCTTTCCGAACATCTTCTTCCGAATAACCCTTTAATCTCATGCCAATTTCGCGATACTCTTCAACCTTTCTTTCCTCCTCTTCGTCTTCCTCTTGATGTTTTTTATGCAACTCCTTTGTTTTCTCCCTTTGTTGAGCCGCGAGTCATGCAACTTGAGAATTCCATCGCAGGTGAAGGTCGTGGTCATCGTTGTTGCACAGAGAGAGAGAGAGAGAGAGAGAGAGAGAGAGATCTAATCCGATCAGGAAACCAATGAATCTGGGTCAGGCTTTTAAACAAAAAAAGTATAATTACCTTTTTAATGATTAATATAAGGTGGGACCAACGAATCTGGGCCTTCTCTTTAACCAAATTCAAAACAAAATTTCATTCCTAGGTATTAAAACCCAAACGGAAATATTGTTTGTCTCAAATATTAATTAGTAAAGATAGTTATGCCTAATACCTAATTTTTCTAAAGGATTATTGCTTTGCTTCTATGGTTTATGAGTGGCTCCAAGCTTGTCCTAATCATATCTCCAAAAGTGCAGATTATGTTGGCTTGGGATTCCCCTGTGAATTGTGTGTTCAAGTTAAATGTTGATGACTCTCGCAAGGGTGGCACTGGCTGTATTGGTGTTGGTGGCATCATCCGAAATTCCCTTGGGGACTGGATGGGTAGTTTTGCTGTCAATTTGGGAAATGGACAAACACTGGATGCTAAACTCTGGGGGTTATTCTTTGGCTTGAAGCTTGCTGCTGCTAAAGGGGTGGCTGGGCTCTCTATTGAAATGGATTCTATAACTGATGTTCAGCTTATCAAGTAGCATGTTCCTAGTTGTCTTCATCCTTTTGCTAGGGTGATTGCAAGTTGTGTCGCTTTGATGAGTAAGTTTGAAACTGTTGAGCTTACTCATATTTACTTGCAAAAGAATGCTGCTTCAGATTATTTTTCAAATTGGAGTCATAATATGGATTTGGGGGTCTACTATTTTGATGAAGCTCCAGTTTAGATTAGTTCTGTTCTTATTGATGATTTGTTGGGGGCTGTGAAGCCTCGGATGATTAGTGTTGGCTATTGTTTTTATTTCTGGGGTTAAAAAGAAAAAGAAATTGAGAACACGTTCATAATTGGAAAAAACATAAATAAATAAAAAGAAATTGGAAAAACCGAATAGCGTAGCTATGAGGCGGCAAGATATAAAAGACCGACGACAATTGGCTCTTTCTCTCTTTCTCGCAATACCCACGACCATTGCTCTCTCTCTCTCTCTCTCTCTCTCTCTCTCTCTCTCTCTCTCTCTCATTTTCAAATTTGAATCGTCTCTCTCTGACGCTCTCTATCAAATATCTTCGATCGACTGGTCGCCGGATCAAATGGCCAGACACCGACGAGCTTGACAAAATCGTCCACCGAAAGTTGGGGGCTTTAATCTCAAGAGTTACCCAGGAAATTGAATTCCATTGGGACGACAAGTGCCTTCCACTGCCGAGAATACTTCTTCATGTTCTGGATCCAATGGAGGGCCTCATTTCTTTTGAATTGCAGAGAATAAAAAAAATCTCCGACTTTTGAAGTCATGGAAGAGCGGAAAGCGGAAAATTATGAACATTTTGATGACCATGATTTGTTTTTTTTTTCTTTTCTTTTTTTTTTTTTTTTACTTATTTTTTTTTTTTTTTTTTTTTTTTTTTTTTTTTTTTTTTTTTTTTTTGCAAGCCCGATGCACTTGGTTTCGACTGCACTGCAGCTCAAAACGAGATTGGATACTCACTGGAAGTAAGTTTTCCTATGCATCTATTCCTATCATGTCTGTTGGTTGTTTGTGATCTTTCTTTATTGGTACACATGTTTTTTTTTCTTCTGTCAACATAGAGATTTTCAAGTCATGATATTTAAAAAATTCTTGTAATCTTGGATTAAGACGTGATTCGCACCTTAATTATTGAATTTAATAAAAACTATAACTAATATGTGAAGAACATTAAAATAAATAAATAAATTTTTCATATATAATTTTGAGTGGTGATTTCCCCACTCCAATTTTATCCTCTTACACTTCACTTTATAACTAAAAACCGACTGTAAGTGGATAAAATTGGAGTGGGGAAATCATTACCCATAATTTTTAATCAGAAAGAACAACATTCAAAATCTTTCATCTTTACATTATTTTATAAGTTAAAACCACTCAAGAGTTCACTAAAAAAGTAGTTCATTATTCAACCACAAACTAAGTACATAACACACTCTATAAACATGTCAGGTTCATCTTAAATCCTAGATTTCATGTTCAGTACTTGCAAAATCTGTTAGGAGGTGAGCGAAACCACAACTCAGTAGGGACATAAACCTTTTCATGATAAATTGATATAACTAAAAGTGACATGCAATAACTCAGTCAAATATCATATCAATTATAACAATGTATGAATTCTCTTCGTCTACTCCCATTAATTCATAGAACTAGACAAGCAAACATGAACATCCATATCATGCTTATACCACTTGGTTACCCAAACTTACTTGCTACTCACTCTTAATTCAAGCAGAGTCTTACCAACAATGACATGTAGACACCTCATACTTTGACATCAAAAGAAACATGTTAACTAGTTTGGAAAATCCTCACTCCCACACAACAAATTGGTTGAAGATGAATGTATATCAAATGAATGCAACTTCTGCTTCTTCCAAGATGTACAGACACTCTTCATCTTTTATTTAATTACCCAATCAAAATTTTTCAATCCACCCATTAGAAAAAATAATTTAATGAATAAAATAATAAAGCATAGAACTTATATAATTATTATAATATATAATTTATTATAAAAATATAACAACTAATCCAATATAACTATATATATAAATAATTAAATATATGGATATATATATATAAGTTATAGAATATTTAATCTCCTATATGAATGTCAACTAGGAGAACTAAGAAAGCAGTTAAATCTATAAGTACTATAATTTAATACTTACCAAAGTAATTATAATAAAAAATTGTTTGACCTTCTTAAATAACCCTTAAGAATACAGATTCTCACAGGACCAGACGCCAAAGACAAACGAAAGCAAAGGTGGACATGAAGATCGGAGGGAAGAGAAAGCTAGAGACCCTAGCAATTCAAAACCCTAGGATGGGGAGAAGGAAGCGAGATGACGGCATGGACTAGGAGGCAGAAGTTATACTCAAACCCTAACCCTAGTCTCTCCTTGTAAGCTAGAGAGAATCCAAAATTGACAATTTGACATACTTAAGGTTACAAGTTTTAATCCTTATAAACAATATATATACACACAAAACTAACGATGCGCGACCATTAGAATTTGTTCTTAAATTTGTGACTTGATTGTGTTTTTACTATTTGGCTTTAGAAACAAAAATCATCATTATTATCATTTGTTTAAGAGTCTCATCCATATTTTAAACCACAACAAAAATTAAATACAAACAAATAAAACACCATGTACAACAATCACGATTGGCTTAGGTTAATACAATAGAAATTCTAGTGTAATGTGTACTTTTATATTATTCATATATTGGTAATTTTACACTTATAAAATATAAATTACAATGTAGTGTGTATTTTTACATTACTCTTATATCGATATTTTTAGACTTATACAATAGAAACTACAATGTAGTGTGTGTGTGTGTTACTCTTATAATGGTATTTTTAGGCTTATAAAATAGAAAATGCAACACAATTTGTACTTTTATGTAATTCTATTATTGGTATTTTTTAGGTTTATAAAATAGAAATTGCAACGCATTTTGTTTTTTGTTTTTGTTACTCTTGTATTTGTATTTTAAGATTTTTATAATAAACATTGCGTGATAGTCACTAATGTTGATTTAATTGGCGTTACAATTATATTGATTTACTTTACACTACTCTACTTGTGGTTTCTTTTTGTTGAGGCCCAAAAATCCAAGGGGTTAAGCCCAAATTAACCCTTAGCCCAATATGAGTGATTGGATGCAAAATAAGCTCAATCGGGATAAAAGAAAATTTATAAGAGCCGCCAACACAAACTACAAGCTACAAATCATGCTAAGCAAGCACGTGCAGAAGGAGCCGAGAACATACCGATATTACTAAATCACGCTCATATGCTCATTCAGTTTTACTTGGCCCAACTATAGCCTGTCACGGCATAATAAAACCCCAAGCACGAGCATAGAAATCATGCGCATTCTAATACCGAGCTACGTCACGAGCTTAAGTAGACCCAAGCCACAAAATTAACCGAGGCTTACTGAGAAGGTTGTGGTATGGAAGGAAAAAAGCAATCACGGGACCCATTGAGGGTTCAAGGAACGTAGGTTTCAAAGCCACTTGGGGGGCTTTGGAACTCAAGCTCGTTCCTAGAACCCAAACATATGGGTTAGCATGAGAGAGAGGAAAAAAATTGACCCATGCTCTAGGAAGACACCAAAAAAACCTACTAAGATATTTAGCCCAGCCCACATCAATAGAATTAAAAAAGGGAAAACCTTTCCAGCAGCTTGACGAAAGCCTGTCAAACGATAGAAGCAACAAAGCCAAATGACCCAATACCATATGTACAAGCCCAAGCCCAGCGACTTGCAAAATTTGGCGTCAAGTCCTATTCCCATTTGAATTCCAAACAATGGTCACAAGGGAGCCATGGCAAGACCAGAGGAAATCCATGGGGGTGAGAGAAGTGTCCATCGGACAAAAGGCTTCATCTCTCCCCTTTTCCTCTGTAAGCTCTGCCCAGCTGCGTCAAATCATTGGAACCATAAAGGGTTCCTTACCCATGCTCCTTGGATGGAGAAATTCATCAAAATAGGGCTAAGTAGGAGCTACCAAGAAAAAAAGGAAGAGGAAAATCAGACAAAATTAGAGCTCCTAACGCCTATAAAAGGAGACTTTTGCTACCCGGAAAACACATCCACAACTCAACGATTCAGAGCTTGACTAGGCTTTGTCAAGCAATCTGGAATTTACTCAAGCCACCCAAACCTCTCTTCCGTTCATCTTTCTTCTTCTTTTAGGATAAGGCTCGTACTAATATTTCTTCTATAAGAAACCCACGTTGTTTTCTCTCTCTCAAATTGCTAAACTCGTGAAAGCTCAGCTCCCATGCCACATACTCCTTAGGCTGAGCCATTAATGAAATCCTCATGCTTATTTGGGTGTTAGTAAAGTGATCCTGAGAGTGTTCTTTTTAAAATCTCATCAGATTTTCAAAAAACTCTCTTGGGAGCTTGGTTTCGAACTCAGACATTTGGGGGATTTTACTCGTTATCTTCTTACAGCAGCCCAGGCCCATTCGTCAGGCTGCTAGAACAAAAAACCCCCTACATAAATTGGCGACTCTGCTGGTGAACAAGCTGTCATTTTACTAATGCCTCCAAGAAAGAAAACCAGGAGCAATACCATGGCCTCCCAAGATGGACCCGACCATGGTGATTCTGAATCAAGGCAAAATGCTTCCTCTAGAGGACAAGAACATGCAAGTGAGGAAGCCTTCACCCTCACTGATCTGATCACAGCTATGCAGGCCATGGGGAAAACCCAGAAGGAGATGATGGACACTATCAAAGAATTAAAAAATGCTGCTTCCAAGCCAAGCGAAGAGGATAGACGTCCGCAAGAAGAATCTGCCGCTGCTGGAAAGGGGTCTGAACAAAGGGGACCATCTTTTGTCACCCAGGAGGATGTCGTTGCCATGCTGGAAAAGGAGCTTAGTCGAAGCCAGGAGGATTGGAAGTACATTCCTCAGCCACCGTACCCAGCAAGTTTACTCCAGCAGCCCTATCCCAAAGGTTACGAAACACCAACCTTTGTTCTCTTCGATGGGAGGAAAGGAAGCCCGAAGGAACATGTCAACCGATTCCTTGATGCTTTGGGGCCACATGCCGGTGATTATAATCTGCGACTCCGAGAATTCTCAAAGAGCCTCACCGATCGGGCTTATACATGGTACACCACATTGGCACCAGGCTCTATGCGTTCTTGGGACGATTTGGCAAGCAAGTTTTGTAAAAAATATTTTCAGCACGAGGAGAGGGTCACCACCACGCAGCTCAACAACACTCGCCAAAAGCAAGGGGAGGATCCCGTGGACTTTGTGAGAAGATTCCGGGACTTGGCTCTCGATTGCTATGACGAAAAAGATGAGGAGGCACTTGTTGAGATTTGCATCAGCAACATTGTGGCAGACTATAGAGTATACTTGGAAAATATTGGCATCAGCCAATTTTCCGGCTGCTAGAAGCGGTAAGAAAGACAAGCATGTCTGTCAAACCGACTGGACAAAGGGGCTGGAGGAGTGAAAAGAAGGAATCACATTAGGTGTTAGCCACGGATGAGAAGCCATCTAATGACTACAGCTCACGCAAACGAAAAGATAAGGAGACGTACCCGCCATTGCCCTGCAAAGATGAAGAGTTTCATGCCATCCTCGACACAATGATTGCTGACGGCGCAATCAAACCTCTCAGGCCCTACAAGGTCCCCACCAGGGAAGAAAAAAGTGATCCCAGATACTGTCGCTACCACCAGTTTGTAGGACATCCGACCACCACTTGTCAGAGTTTAAGGAGGATCTTACATGGCAAAATACATGAGGGAGTTCTTAAACTTCCCTCTAGGAAGCAGGCTATTGATGAGGACCCTTTGCCAAAACGAAGGGGGAAAGAAACAGCTGCTGTTATTACGTGTTCAGATGATTTGCTCGACGATGACGAATTGTGCCACCCATGGAGGAATGATCCAAAGCCACCAGAGGCTATTTGGGAGCCTTGTGGAAACATGGATAAAGCTTACTGGTGCAAATACTCGAAAACCGCCAAGCTACGACACGCCATGGCCACTCGCTGATGGATGGGATGGCTATGCAGACAATGGGGTGTTCATGTTGGATATGCCGGAAAGGACAATGCCAGAGAACCTCGTCCAGACAGCAGGAAACGTCTGCTGTGACATTTCACACCCTTACAGAAGCTGAGGCGACTGTAATGGAGCATATCTAGGCTCAAAGCAAGGACCCACATCTTCACAAGTCCTCCAGAGGAATCCTAGAGTTAAGTCGCTCTTTGACCAACTTGGTTTCGGGCCTCAAGCGAGGGAAGCAGCTGCTGTAGCCCTTATGAATATTTTTGCAGGAGCCAACCCCCATTGCTTCACTGCTCAACCTCAAAGGTTATTCTTGGAAAATGACAATGCTATTATTTTCACAGACGAGAACATGGAGGTTCCATACCCGGATCACAGGAGGCCACTTTACCTGGAGGGACAAATCAATGATGTGTTCATACAGAGGGGTCTGGTAGACACGGGTTCTTCTGTTAACATCTTGCCTCTGTCTGTACTTACAGCAGCTGGTATTCCACTATCCAAGATCGTGCAGTCCCAAACGAGCATTAGCGGTTTTGGGAATCAAAGTGAGGTTACGGTTGGATATATGCAAGTAAATTTGAAGGTAGGGCCCATCCGGTCACTTACCAAGTTCTATGTGGTGGACGTAGATGTGGCTTATCATGCTTTGTTGGGAAGGCCATGGCTCAACAAACATAAACTTGTGGTCTCTACGTACCATCAATGTGTAAAAGGAAGAATTGGGCTAAGACCACTCCGTATACCAGGGAATCAAGCACCGTTCAATCAAAGCGAAGCTCACTACTCCGAGGCAGAATTCTACACTGAGTGCACAGGCGCCGGAAGCAACCCCATCCAAGAATTCTGGGACTTACCTGCCGTGGACCAAGATTCGTGATCTGAGCAACGAGGAGCTCATAACCATCGTCGATTGAGAAAGAAAAAAGGCACTCGGAGGCCAACAACCATGCCTACGATCATCCTCAATGCTCAAAGGTTACGCTGCCAAATGGGCGCACTGTATATCGCTTATGACGGGATTGGGGGCTTGACCGTATCCTACGGGAAAGCCCGAGTATGGTGGAGAAGCTATGCAAGCAGACAGCCGCGAGAGTCTAGATGGCAAGGCACCCTTGCCTTGTCCTTTCCAAGAACCAATGACAGCACCCAAGCACATGCAAGATGGCTCAACGGCAGTATCTGAGCGGTTGGAAACAATTAATTTAAGTGATGACCCCTCTGTCCCAAGACCCATCTCTGTCAATGTTCATTTAACGGGGAAGAAAGGGAAGCTTTGGTGTCGTTATTGAAAGAATTTCGAGATGTGTTTGCTTGGAGTTACGAAGAGATGCCCGGCCTTAATCCAACCTTGGTAAGTCATACGCTGAATATTGAGCTCGGTGCAAGACCTGTTGTACAACCACGAAGGAATTTTTCATCCTGAAATTGAGAAGCAAATCAAGGTGGAAGTTGAAAAGCTGCTAGCCGCTGGATTCATCAAGCCAATTAAACACCCGACATGGCTAGCAAATATCGTACCCGTGAAAAAGAAAACTGGGGTAATCAGAATATGCACAGACTACCGTGATCTCAATCGAGCCTGCCCAAAAGATGAATTCCCGTTGCCCAACATGGATATCTTGATTGATTCAACCTCGGGTCAAGGCATGCTATCCTTCATGGACGGATTTAGTGGCTATAATCAAACCAAGATGTCTCCCAAGGATGCCGAGAAAACAACCTTTCGAACACCCTATGGAAATTTCTACTACACGGTCATGCCATTTGGTCTCAAGAATGCCGGTGCTACCTACCAACGGGCCATGACAGCAGTGTTTCATGATATGATGGGAAAAAAGGTGGAAGACTATGTGGATGACCTCGTAGTAAAATCCAAAACCAGAGAAAGTCATCAGGGAGTTCTGAGGCGGGTGCTGGAAAGGTGCCGGCTGTATGGGTTAAAAATGAACCCAAAGAAATGCGCATTCGGAGTCTCATCTGGCAAGTTCCTGGGCTTTCAGGTACACCAGCATGGTATAGATGTGGACTGAGAAAACCAAAGCCATATGTTCTCTTGCACCACCTAAGAATCCAAAGGAGTTGAAAAGTTTTATGGGAAGATTGTCATACATTCGGCGTTTTATTCCAGGCCTTACTGCAATGATGAGTGTTTTCACTCCTCTCCTTAAAGAGGGGAAGCCATATATATGGAGCCAGGGATGCCAAGAAGCTTACCAACGGGTACAACAACTGATCACCAAGCTGCCCACGATGAGGACACCTATTCCAGGACTTCCACTCAAGCTTTACTTGGCTGCGACGAATGCTGCGGTTGGAGCTTTGCTTGCGCAGGACGGCCATGACGGGGAGGAAAGCCCCGTTTATTATGTAAGCCGACAACTGAGAGGAGCTGAGGCAAGGTACCCAAAAACGAAACTCTTATGCCTTGCTCTTGTCTATGCTGCGCAGCGCTTGCGACACTACTTCCTTGCTCACAAGTTACAACTCATAGTAAAGTCCGATCCCGTAAGATATCTGCTCACAAGGCCGGTATTATCTGGTCGTCTCGCACGATGGTTATTGCAGCTTTCCGAATTTGATATCATATGCACAACTCCTAAGGCCATCAAGGGACTTCCAGTGATTGACATGTTAGCTCTATTCCCCGAAGTAGAAGGATCAACCCTTTCCAAGGAAGTCCTGGGAGAACTGCCGGAAATGGTTGCTACTGTTACAGAGGAGGAACCATGGACCCTCTACTTTGATGGGTCTTCCACATCAAAAGGTGGAGGGGCAGGTGTCGTGCTCATTAATCCCAATGGGCAAGCTACGGCTCTCTCATTCAAGCTAGACTTTCCATGCACGAATAACGTGGCAGAATACGAAGCTTTTATTGTGGGATTGTCCACAGCAAGAGAAATGGGCGCAGAAAAGGTGAAGATCATCGGCGATTCGAACCTAGTACTAAGTCAATTGCAAGGAAGCTTTGCGGTGAAGGAAGCAACCTTTGGCACCATATCGGACAGCTGCTGAAAGGCTCATTAATTCCTTCAAGCAAATCGTGATGGAGCACATTCCAGGAGCCACCAATAGGTACGCTGATGCTTTGGCCACATTGGGATCAAAGCTCTCATTTGTGCAAGAACAGCCCAACATCACCGTGATAAGGAGAAGCACACCAGTGGTCGAAGCAATGGCCCCAGGGGAACCTGCTGGAAGAGGATGATTGGAGAAAGCCACTGAAGAAAAAATTAGGTGAAGAGAGCAGCATTAAAAACTTGAAAGACTATGTGACTATCTTTGGGGAACTCTACAGACGTCTTCCAGGAGGTGTTCTGACCCGGTGTGTTGGGATGGCAGAAGCAAGAAGGAGGTTGCAAGAGGTACACGATGCCACTTGCGGCTTGAAACCAGTAATCAGCCTGTACCGGCGCTTGCAACGCAAAGGTTATTATTGGCCAGAGATGAAGAAGCAAGCAGCTGAACTACAATCTGATTGTCCCACCTGTTCTACGATACCCTCTACAAAGGAGTGATTCACTGTTTCATTTGCAGAAGATTGGCGGGCTCCATACTTGGCATTCTTTGTTGGAGGAACTCTGCCGACCAACCCCAAGCTTGCCTATAAGCTCAAAAAGACCATAAAGAGGTATTTTGTTGATGGGTCAACTCTTTATCGGAAGGGGTTTAATGGTGAGCCATTAAAATGCTTGGGAGAATCAGAGGCACGTTAAGCCATGCAAGAGATACATGCTGGAGAGTGCGGAGAGCACCAAGGAATGAAGAAGCTTCACCGGCAGCTACTAAGCATTGGGTATTATTGGCCTACCATGAAGAAGGATGCACATGACTTTGTTAAGAAATGCCACACATGCCAAATCCATGCTAATCTAAGCCACAAACCTCCTACATTGCTGCAAGACATGCGCACTCCCTGGCCTTTCCATACTTGGGGGCTTGATTTAATTGGGACAATCCATCCCCCTTCCGATGGCTACATATGGATCCTCACCGCTACGGAGTATTTCACGAAATGGGTTGAGGCAATTCCCCTTCGAAAGGCCACAGGAGCTGCTGTCTCGAATTTCATTCGGGAATATATTGTGTGTAGGTTCGGAATCCCATACAAGATGGTCACCGACAATGGCACACCTTTTGTTAACAAGCAAGTGAGTTCAACCCTTAGTGGGTACGGTATCAAGCATCGTCGCTCTACGCCTTATTACCCGCAGGGAAACGGTCAAGCGGAGGCTACCAATAAAACGATATTGAAGATTCTAAGCAAGATGATATATGAGTATCGAGGAGGCTGGAGTGTTCACTTGCCGGATGCTTTGTGGGCTTATCGCACCTCACCAAGGAGCGCTACAGGTTTTTCACCTTACTCACTTGTGTACGGATCTGAGGCTATTTCACCCGGGGAAATCACCATCCCGACAGCCAGGATAGCAGCTGTCAATGATCTTGAATGGGATGCAAAGACATGCTCAGATTGGCGTTTGCTAGATCTCGAAGCAGTTGATGAGAAAAGGATGGAAAGCTGAAAGAAGGATGGCACTTTACAACAAGACTGTTGCCCAAGCCTATAACAGGACCGTTAAGCCTCAAGCCTTCAAGCAAGGAGATCTCGTGCTAAAAGTCGTTGAACATGTGAGAAGGCAAATGTCAGGACCTTCCAAATTTGCCCCACAATGGGAGGGTCCATTCGCAGTCAAGGAGGTACACAGCAGCGGTTATTATCGCTTGATCTCTGTCAAGGAAGGCATGCTAACGGATCCCATCAATGGAAAATGGCTCAAGCCCTACTACTGCTAAGTAGGCATAATATCTTATTTTCATGTTATTGCATTTCCTTTTATCTAAAAAAATGTTGTCTCCTTCTATATGCTCTTTGTTTTGAAAAGCTTTTGTATCATCATGGTAGCATGGGGTTTGAAATGAAAATGAAGGAGTATTTTGAAAAAAAAATTGTCTCTGGAAGTTTGCCCTTTTTCGTACCTCGAATTTCTTTTTGAACATGCGTTTACAATTACATATAAATATACGGCGGATATTTTTAAAAAAAAGTGGAGGAAAATATTACTTAGCAAAAGACATGCCAAGCAAAGCCATTTGAATGGGATCCTAGGTCTGTAGCAGCTTTCACGCTTTGGCAAAATGAAAAGGAACAAGCCAAGCTAAGCACCCGCAAAAGGAAGCTAGCATGCTCATAAGGTCCGAGAAACCTTCAAAGAAAATAGGCAGAGTGTCAAAGGGCCATCCTAACAAAATTTTGGCAACAACCACCATACTTCAAAAGGATACCCAATCTAAAAAATTCAAGCAAAGGATTCTACCAACCAGGCATTTTATACATGTTAAATAAAAGCTACAATGTGTTTCTGGCAAAAAGAAAAAAAAAGAAAAAAAAAGGGAACATAGGTTCCGGTAGCTGGAACACAACAGCACTAAAATACCAAGCTGCCACAGTACAAGTTTTACAACATAAGTCAAGTCAAGCTATACAGGCTAAGAAGTAATGTGTGCTTCAATCTCGAACGAAACTCTAGAATGTGTCAAGCTAGTCAATTCTACACCAAGCAAAATGCGACCTGCAAAACAGAACAAAAAGGAATGTCAGGAGGAAATCAGAGTAACATTGAACATATGTAGAATGAGGGAACATGAGGGAAAGACAAAAAGTCACGAACCTCAAAAGTACCATCAAGGATGGCTAGAAGGGAACGGAGGAGGCCCCGTGAGAAGATCTTGTCACTACCTCCATCAGTCAGCACTGTCGGAAGAGACACCTTGGGCAGAAAAGAGGCCACGCAATTCCCTGCGCTGGTTTTCCAGTTCATGTTGCTTGAAGACCAAAGCCTCTACTGCTGCCCTTATTTCATCAGGGCCGGGATTTGACTTCATGTTCATGAACAGCACGTGCCAAACCCTTCACCAGGTTCAGAAGAGACTCTGCTCGAAAGCCCAGAGTCATAGCCTCGCAAACTGCATCCCGCCAGCAAAGGAGCCTGTGATCAGTAATGTCCAGCAGCTGCATGGTATCCATCCCATGGAGCACCAAGCCGAGGGTCCGGAAAGCAGCACAGCGCGAGAATGAAGAAGTAATACCAGTCATGTCCATGAAATCCCCGTACTTGTCTAGAAATTTCTTCAAAGCCGCGACTGTCTCGGATAACAAGAATTCGTGGAGAACACTTACGGCGGAGAGGGGTAGTTTCCGGCACCTTGCCGGCACGACCCCAGCTCCCGGATGCAGCAGGCTTCGAAGACTGTGGATGTTCCGGGGGAGTTGCTTCTTTGGTTGGGGAAGGGCCACTTGGGCTACCTTTGGAATGAACCTTTTGGGTTTACCCGCAGTCTGCTTCTCACTCACATTTTGCTCCTCCTCTCGCTTTCTTTTGCCTGACACTGGCGTTGCACTTTTTCCGGAACCGCCAGGACCTGTACCCCCGGCTTTGGCTTCGTCTTAGGAAATTCTCCAACGATGTCACCACTCTTGGAAATGAAGGGCAAGTTGCGTTTTTGGCTAAGAGGGATGGCTTTCTCTTCCGAAACCAAGCCCGCAAACGAGCCGTTGTAGGAGGCAGTCTGTCCCCGGGAAAGGATTGGAACTCACGGAAGGAAGAGAGACAGCGTTTCCAGTAGGCTTGGTAGCCTCTAGAGAAGCCACCAACCCTCGCCTTGCTTGCTAGAACGATGGGCCTGCAATTGGCTGGTATGTGGTCATTGCTCCAGAAGATCCTGTGTAAAGCAAAAGGGTCATCATGGTTAGGATTGCTGGGTACCCCTTGGTCAAGCCCGAACTGCCTCCTGACTCGGTGTGGAGAGTAGGTCACGGAAACCTCTGCACAGTGGTCTCCAAGAGTAGGGAAGGGGATGGGAGCAACATTCAACAAAGCATACTTCCGGAACTGGTCACTCTGCGATACGGCTGCTGGAATCTCAACCGTATCACTGACGTCAGTATAGAAGGGCACGAAAGTGAAGGTCTCTGCTGAGGTGCTGTAAGGACGAAAGACAAAATTCTCGACATTGTCTAGCAGCTTTAAGAAATTTTGGCATTTCCTCTGCATTCTCTTGAACCACCTGCAAACTAATGGGAGGTTGTTTGGCACGAAGGAACCATTGCCCCAGTCGAATGAGGGAGTGAATGCACATCCAACCCTTTGAGACGCTCCCACAAGAACACCTGCAAGAAACCAGAATTTAGGAGGGTCTCCACACCCATGGTTCCTGATGCACTTTTTTCCAGAAGTTGGGTTCGATTAAGAAGATGGTATAGATGTCCCAGGAACATGGGGGCTAAGGGGATCGTATCGCCTCGGGCTATGGCCAAAGCCAAGGGAAATACACGCCCATGAAGGTAGTCCTGAGAAAAGTCACAGAGCACGAACCGCCCAAGCCACAGAGCTATAAAGGCAGCCAACCGGCAGGGACCCTGTCTGTTTGCATCCCCAAAATATTGTATCCAGTTACTAAACCGGAGTGAAGTGCTGGGAGAGGTGGGAGCGCCTCTTCGCAAGACTGCAAGGTTATCTATTTCTTCTGGAGTGAGGGCAATGCCGAAAGGACTACGGTCGCCACAGACAGGAAGGCGAGAGATATTCGCCACATCTTCAAGGGTAGGGGTAAATTCCCCCCATGAGCACACAAAGGTGTGAGTAGCAGTGCTCCACCTCCGGACCACGTGACGAAGCATCTTCGCTTCGATGTGGATGTCCCACAATTTGGAAAGGAAGATGGCATCAAGGACTTATGCTCTGCGCAGGATGTTGCATGTGGATGGATCCCGCAGTTCACGGTCGACCCATTCTGACCAACCTTTACTGATGCTGCAAGGATATTGGAAGAATAGGGGAATGGCTGGAAAGAGGCCCTTTTCAATGCAGCATCTGGATATGGAGGCAGGATTAATTACAGGAGCAGTCTCAGGGGATGGCTCATCACCAACAACGGGATTTTTACGGGCATCTTCAAGCAACAGGAGCGTCCCTTCTGCTTTAAGATCGTCATCCATGGAGTAGAGGTGGTCTAGCATGATTGGCGGAAGGTCAGTGGACGCCATGGCAGGCCTACTAAGTTACAGACACCTGCAAGAAAGGAAGAAAGAACAAAATGCATAAGTTCCAGCACCTTCACGAATTGTTAAACGCACGCACATCTCTGTAATATCATGCCAAGACCATATCAAGAAAGAAAAAAAAAGACCAATATGCGAAGGAAGCCATGGAGTGGCTGTTCCCGTCCTTCCACCATGCTTCGACACCATCTACAGGTTTGTGGTTATCAAGGCAAGATATCGCCTCAAGAACGCTTAAAATCCCAAATCAGTGGTCTATGCCCGAAATTCGAGCCTAGGGCTTGGGAAATTAGATGAAAGGGTTCATGAGGAATTCTCAAAAAATATAAAGGGTGCCTCCACATGTACATATATGCGTATGTATGTGTGTATGTGTATAGATGCATGCGCCCGGAGTAACGAGATGTAGAAAACAAAAAACAAGGGAACAATGCTTCCCACTGCTATTGCTGGAATTCTTCCAGCAGCTTGCCGAAGTCGAAAGAGGAGGGAATTGCCTTGCAATTACACAGCAGAAATTGCTCCACACTTCGCCAAGTGACTTTGCTAAGCTTGGTTTTGGACGGATTGAAGAGCGAATCAAAGAAATTGAAGGGTTTTAAAGAAGAATCGTGGCTTTTCCCCGATGGTTGCGAGCGGTTTCCTGAGCGTAACCAACCAGCGGTTGTGGATGAGGCTTCACTGTGATTTCTCGTTTCCAAGGGTTCTCTAGACCTGTGTATGAAAAGGAACCAACAAAAACGAAAAGGGGGCAACTAGTTTTAGGGCTCGCGCGCACAGAAGAGAGGAGTCAGAGACGAAAAGAGAAAAACAAGAGAAGAAAAGGAAAGAAAAATAAAATAAAACAAGATTGATGGAAGCGTACCTTGGGAATGCAAGAGACCGCTGGAAAATAATCATGGCAGCACACACGCGGGAAACGGGAAGGTCACATCAGCAGCCTGGATTTGATTTTTCTTTTGGGCCAGGTTTGATTATTTGACCCATCTCGAAGCTATTCATGACCCCAATAATCAAGGGGGCTAATGTTGAGGCCCAAAAATCCAAGGGGCTAAGCCCAAATTAACCCTTAGCCCAATATGAGTGATTGGATGCAAAATAAGCTCAATCGGGATAAAAGAAATTTATAAGAGCCACCAACACAAGCTACAAGCTACAAATCATGCTAAGCAAGCACGTGCAGAAGGAGCCGAGAACATACCGATATTACTAAATCACGCTCACATGCTCATTCAGTGCTACTTGGCCCAACTATAGCCTGTCACGGCATAATAAAACCCCAAGCATGAGCATAGAAATCATGCGCATTCTAATACCGAGCTACGTCACGAGCTTAAGTGGACCCCAGCCACAAAATTAACCGGGGCTTACTGAGAAGGTTGTGGTATGGAAGGAAAAAAGCAATCACGGGGCCCATTGAGGGTTCAAGGAACGTAGGTTTTCAAAGCCACTTGGGGGGCTTTGGAACTCAAGCCCGTTCCTAGAACCCAAACATATGGGTTAGCATGAGAGAGAGGAAAAAAATTGACCCATGCTCTAGGAAGACACCAAAAAAACCTACTAAGATATTTAGCCCAACCCACATCAATAGAATTAAAAAAGGGAAAACCTTTCCAGCAACTTGACGAAAGCCTGTCAAACGATAGAAGCAACAAAGCCAGAGGACCCAATACGTACAAGCCCAAGCCCAGCGACTTGCAAAATCTGGCGTCAAGTCCTATTCCCGTTTGAATTCCAAACAATGGTCACAAGGAGCCATGGCAAGACCAGAGGAAATCCATGGGGGTGAGAGAAGTGTCCATCGGACAAAAGGCTTCATCTCTCCCCTTTTCCTCTGTAAGCTCTGCCTTGGAGAAAACATAAGGAAAGCAGGTGGTGCCTTCCCCTCTATGGGAAAGCCCAGCTGCGTCAAACCATTGGAACCATAAAGGGTTCCTTACCCATGCTCCTTGGATGGAGAAATTCATCAAAATAGGGCTAAGTATGAGCTGCCAAGAAAAAAAGGAAGAGGAAAACCAGACAAAATTAGAGCTCCTAACGCCTATAAAAGGAGACTTTTGCTACCCAGAAAACACATCCACAACTCAACGATTCAGAGCTTGACCAGGCTTTGTCAAGCAATCTGGAATTTACTCAAGCCACCCAAACATTTCTTCCGTTCATCTTTCTTCTTCTTTTAGGATAAGGCTCGTATTAATATTTCTTCTGTAAGAAACCCACGCTGTTTTCTCTCTCTCAAATTGCTAAACTCGTGAAAGCTCAGCTCCCATGCCACATACTCCTCAGGCTGAGCCATTAATGAAATCCTCATGCTTATTTGGGTGTTAGTAAAGTGATCCTGAGAGTGTTCTTTTTAAAATCTCATCAGATTTTCTAAAAACTCTCTTGAGAGCTTGGTTTCGAACTCAGACATTTGGGGGATTTTACTCGTTGTCTTCTTACAGCAGCCCAGACCCATTCGTCAGGCTGCTTGAACAAAAAACCCCTACACTTTTTTTACAAGAAAATGATGAATTACATAATTTCATTGTCACAAAAAATATAATTATTAACAAAACTAACATGAAAATATGATTTTAATTAGACTTCCTAATTTAGATTGGCAATCGTACATAAAAATTACACAATACAAAATAAACATTGCAACATAGTGTGTGCAAGGTAGTGTCTCTGAAATATAAAAATGAACTAGCAATACAAAAAAGATGAAATTTTAAATGGGGCAAAATTGTCAAATGAAGCCATTAAAGAGAACAAAAAGAATTTATAAAAGAAGGAAAAAAAAACTGAAAACACGTTCATAATTGGGAAAAACATAAAAAAAATAAAAAGAAATTGGAAAAACCGCGTAGAGTAGCTATGACGCGGCAAAGTACTATAAAAGACCGACGACCGACGACATTTGGCTCTCTCTCGCTTTCTCGCAGTACCCACGACCATCGCTCTCTCTCTCTCTCATTTTCAAATTTGAATCGTCTCTCTCTCTCTGACGCTCTACGTCAAATATCGTCGATCAACCGGTCGCCGGATAAAATGGCCGACGCCGACGAGCTTGACGAAATCGTCCGCCGAAAGCTGGCGGCTTTGATCTCAAGAGTGACCCAGGAAATCGAATTCCGTTGGGGCGACGAGTGCCTTCCACTGCCGAGAATACTTCTTCATGTTCTGGATCCAGTGGAGGCCCTCATTTCTTTTGAATTGCAGAGAATAAAAACTCTCCGACTTGGGAAGCCGCGGAAAGAAAGCGGAAAATCAGAAATTTGATGGCCATGCGTTGAATTTTGTTTCTTTTCTTTCTGACATTTTTTCTTAATTAGGGTTTTTTTTGTTTGTTTTTTTTTGTTTTTGTGTGCAGGGCCCGATGGACTTGGTTTCGACTGCACTGCAGCTCAAAACGAGATTGGATACTCACTGGAAGTAAGTTTTCCTATGCATCTATTCCTATCATGTCTGTTGGTTGTTTGTGATCTTTCTTTATTGGTTCACATGTTTTTTTTCTTCTTCTATCAACATAGAGATTTTCAAGTCATGATATTTAAAAATTCATAAGACTTGATTGCAAAAGCTTGAAATTGCTGTTATTATTCATTCAGTTGCAACTTCTCTCGCTTGTGACTTGTCTGATATGTTTCTCTCCATGTTCAATATACTTCTGAAAATTATTTCCCACCATTTCATTGTGCTTGGATTTAACATCCTTTTTGTTACATCTTACATGTCCATCTGGCATTTAAAAGTATCATAAGACTTGATTGCAACCATCCTTTTTCCAAAGGGTTTATCTTTATCTTGTTTTGAGATCCCTGAAATGGTAGTGAAAGACATGATTGTGACCATAGCATATTTGTGGAACAGATGGGTTTGTTATATGAGGACTACTGGCCCTAGGTGATGATTGGGAAAATTTCTTCAAGGTATGGACTATGGACTACGATAATATATTATTTGAGTGAAGTGCATGACTCTACAAGTATTTTTCCAATTTCATGTTTCATGTAATTGCTGTCTATAACCTTTTTCGAGCACAGGGTATGAGCATTGCAGGTTTAGTTAAAATTCTTTGGTGTATTAGGAAATTTGACTACTCAATTTAGCTTTTATATTTATCTATTCAATTTGGAGTGTTTAAGTTAATTACACTGCAATTGACTGTGAGTGCTAGTTAAGAAGCTTCGAATGCTACTTCCAAATCCTATTGTGTAACTTACTTATAATACTTGTTGGAGAAATGATAATTAGGTGTCTTAGTTGATCCTAAAATGCTGGAATGCTCTTGGCATTTGAATTACAGCAGTGGTCCTTGCTTTATTGTTTGTTATTTGTGTCAAGGAATTATGTTTTTTTATTCCCCCATAGTTAAATGCAGGCTATGGCTTAAGTAATATGTAACTGATTTTGGAGATAACGAAATATGAAGTTCAATAATGTAACCCAGCTTGGGAAATCTTTGTTGTTGTTGAGGCGTGAAGTACGAGTATGTATGTTTGCCTTTTTCCCTGAATGAAATTTGACATAAATATAAGATCTTTAGCATTCTTCAGTATCTTTAAAAACAATAGCGCACAATCAAGGCTCGGTCATTTCAACACCTCCATCTTTACTTGGTCCTTTTGACTGAAGATGAATTGCAGATCCAGTTCAAAGAAGTTTGCATTGAATTTCTTTTCCTTTTCCCTGTATTCATTTGTGTACAAATTGGTTGCATCAACTTGATACATTTCTTTAATTTTACCACAGTTGTTTTATCAATAAATCTCTCGTTTCTATGGGCAAATTTTGATATTTCTTTGTTCAATCTTTGATATGTATGGAGAGTTTCATTGACAGCAGTTGTTCTTTTGCGGACATCTTACAATAATCTTTTGTGATCAATGCAGTTTGCAGCTTCCCTATATTTTCTCAAGTTGATTTCGTCACACTGTGGTGATTGGTGTATGTAAGGGAATGCCAGTTTCACCATGTTAGAGTTAATCAATCTCCTATTAATTTGAACTTTGGAACTTCATATTGATCTTGTTGGAAATATTTTGCAGCACTGGTGTTAGCTTTCATGCTGTATTCCATATACGAGCAGTATGAATCAGAAGTTGTGAAGCTTCTGTTCAATAGTATAATGCTGGTTTTTGGATTTTTTAGAACAAATCTACCTGCTTCTGTGCATCAATTTCTTGAAAAACATGGAATTTTGATGCGTCACATGTGACAATTAGCATCAGAAGTAGCTGCCACTACCACTTGGATGGCATTTGGGCATAGTTTTTCTAACTGGACAAATTCAATGTTCTGCTAGTTTAGGGTTGTATGAAAATATATATTTCGTGTAAACCCAACAAAAGAATTACCACATTACAAACTCTTCTCCTTTTGTTAGGGTTAACCATAAAGTTTAGGCGGTATAAATCAATGCCTTTGTCACGTCTGTACGCTATAAGTAGCAGGATTGAGTGCTTTATGTCCTTTCTATGCTATCGTCTTTTCTTTTTTGGTCGAAATCTGTAAATTTCATTGTAAGGGAGACAAAGCAGTGAACTCAATGAATGATTTCAAACAAATGCCATATAAAATGGCATAACGCCCACTACAGAAACTTACAAACAGGCGTAAAGCCCATTGATGGCAAAATGCCTACTATTGACATAAAGTCCACAGAAGGCGTAAAGTTCGATGCTAACAAGCTTTGTATTTTTTGTATGTCAATACAGAAGGCGTAAAGGTCGATGCTAACAAGCTTTGTATTTTTTATTTGGCAAAAACTCGTTTTTGGATTATGTAGTTTGCCATTTTTACCACTATCACTTTGATCCATGTCTAGAGCAACTGCCGTTAATTATTGAGGGGCATTTCAGTCCAAAAACAAAGGTAACCAAAACCCCCCAAAAAAAACCAATAATAAAAGAACAAAAAAAAAATAAGTAAAAAAGATACCCAGATTACCCAAACCCCACCGCCCCTATCATCCTCCCCGACCCCAGCAAGGAATTGGCCTCAAAATTAATGATATACAGTTATAAACATGGTTTCTCTGGGTTTGCGGCCAAGCTCAGAGAGTTTCAAGCCCAAAAACTTTCAGGTGTACTTTAAAAAGTATTGCAATATATAGGTGCAACAAAGATATGTCTGGTTTGCAATGATTGACAATGATTTAAAATATAGATATGTAATGGATTCATGACTCATACCTTCAGATGTTGTTTACACCATAATCAACCAATCGTATTCGGCATTAGACGACTGACACTTGGGCAGACGCACAGGCTGCCAAAGAGAAGGAACGATCCGAAAAAGACACACAGACAAGCCCATAGAAAGCGAGTAACATCATCACCTTCTTAACCTACCAAAGGAAGACCTCCTTCCGAAGCGGTAACCGCATGCCAATGTTCTCAACTACAGAACCTAGTTTCCATGGACACATGTTGCCTCCACAACAGTTTGTACAAAGTCCCACATCGAAACTTTGTGCAAAACTCTCATTTTCACTTTTCTATAAATAGGGAACAGTGCCCAAGTATAAAGGTTAAGTACTTTCCACTTTTATTGTTACTCTGCCAAAATTACCACATATACTTGCTGACTTAAGTATCGGAGAGCCTTCAGCAGGTACCACACCGGTGGCCGAAGCTTGACGATTGCTTCTTCCTTGTTTCCTTCTATAGGATCCCTCCATACCGAAGGTCCACAACTTTTCCCCTTTTGCTGAAGATCCAATACTCATTTACATAAGTTGACCTTCCCAAAAAGAGCATCAACAGATGCCACCATTAAGTATTGTGCTTATTGTTGCCTTTTATCCTAGCATTTCTTGCTGATGTGTTCTAGTATTTCTTCAATGGCATTCATGTAGTGCTGCAAATTCTGGGAATTTTCAGAACCTTGGCATTATCACCGTTGTGATTGATGACCATTTTGATGAAGCTGAGGGTGGGTTTAGAATAGAGGGCTAGGGAGGGGATCCGGAGGTCTTTGAGGAGTGGGTGACTGCTTGGGTGTCGGGGCTAGGTTTGGGAGAGAGAGAGAGAGAGAGAGAGAGAGAGAGAGGTCGAGTTTATTCAGAAGTTTTGTGGTGGGAGGGTGGCAAGAGTTGGATGTTAGGTGGGGTTGGAGTGGTGGTGGGTGGTGGTCTGATGAAGTTAGGGGAGGGGGAGCGGACGGGAGAGATGGAGAAGAATATATATATATATATATTTTTTTTTAAATTAAAAATTTTATTTTGTATTGTTTATTTTTAAAAAGAATTAATTTTTAAATAATTTAACGGAATTGCCCTTTCACAAGTAACAGAAGTTTAAAAATTTTGACAAAAATTGAGAATTATCATTGAATTACTTAAATTGAAAACTATAGGGACAAAATTGATCAAATTGAAACGATAGGGACCAAAGTGGTAAAAGTGGCAAACTATAGGGACCAAAAGTGACTTTATCTATATATATATATAAAGCAAAAGACAGAGAATGGTGAAACATTCAAAATACCATAAAATCCCATTGGTTAATTCAAACATTAACAATTGAAATTATTAATTAAATGAGAATAATATGGTAAATTCACATTTTTTTCATATTAAAAAAGTTAAAATTAAAACAAAATCAGATAATAAATCCTACTTTTATGGAACATAACTACCCATATTATTTTTTCTTCATTCTAAAAATAAAAAAGAAAACCAATTGGCACATGCGTGAAGGCCCTAGTTAAAATTATTAATTAAATGAGGATAATATGGTAAATTCACTTTTTTTCATATTAAAAAAATTAAAATGAAAAACAAAATAACATAATAATAATAATTCCTACTTTTATGGAACATAACTACCCATATTATCTTTTCTTAATTCAGAAAATAAAATAAAAAATAAAAATAAAACCAATTGGCACATGCATGAGCGTGTGCCAAGAGGCTAGTATACATATAAAGCAAAAAGGAGACAATGGTAAAACATTCAAAATACCAGAAAATGCCATTGGTTAATATAAACATTAAGAATTGAAATTATTAATTAAATGAGGATAATATGGTAAATTCACACTTTTCATATCCAAAAAATTAAAATTAATAGAAAAATTCAGATAATGGATCATATTTTTATGGAACACAACTATCCATTTTTTTTAATTTTTTAAAATTACATTAAAAAAAAAAATAACTAAACGAGTGCGGAAAGGCTAGTTTACTTTGTATCAATTGGTAAAGAGCTAAAGATTGGTAATTTAGATTATTAGGGGGATATTCAATTGAGATTTTAAGACTATTTACAGGTTAAAAAAAAACTCTAGTGTATAAGCAGAATGTAATGATTTATAGGATTTTAGTTATAGATTTCTATAATTAATATTTTTTACTTATGGATTTTAAAAGATTCAAATCATAGAATTATTAAGATTTTTAAGGACCAAATAGATTTAACTATCCATCATTTTCACCATGTTACTTCCATTAAGAGTTTTACACTTTTTTTTTCAAAATAAAATTGAAGTTATTTGTATAGCTGTAAATTGACTTCCAATTTTGCCTTTTATAATAAAATAAAAATTAAAACAGGAAAAAAATAGTTTCGGCAATACTGTGTCACTCTTACCTCTCTTTTCCTTTATTTTTATTTCTCCTCCCTCCATCTCTCATTTCGGCATGAGTAGATGAAAATATTTGTTTGCGTGAGGAGGCAAGTGGTCAAAACTTATAGAATTTGGAGAAATTTGACAAAAACTAAAATGTGTCCTTGAACTACTCCAAATTGAAAAATAAAAAAATAAAAAAGAACTAATGAAATTGAAAACCTATAACAATAAAATTGAAAAATTGAAACTACCTTTGGACCAAAGTGGTAAAAAGGGGGAAATGACAAGGGCCAAAAATAATGTTTTCCCTAAAATTTAGGGGTATATTTGTCATTTCATGATTATATGGATGATAGGGGTATAGTTGTCATTTCAATATTTTGTGGATGATAAATGTCTCGAAGGATCCCTCCTCGCATATTTCTCATCTTCTCTCTGTGATTAGATACATACCTCCCTAATTTAATCAAAATTTCTAGGGTTTCATCACAAAAAATCTCTCAAACCCTAACCCAAGAACATATATCCAGCAATTACTCACTTTCCCCATATTCAATCCAGTCGCGTCTAGGGTTTCAATTCAGTTTTCAATTCAATTCAAATCAATCACAATGGCGCCTGCTGCCAAACCGAGCAAGCAAGGCACAGACGATTCGGAGACGCCGTCGAACAATCTCTGGGTCGGGAACTTAGCGAGTGACGTCACCGACTCTGAGCTCATGGACCTCTTTGCCCAGTACGGTGCGTTAGATAGCGTCACCACCTACTCGTCGCGGAGCTACGGCTTCGTGTTCTTCAAGCGTGTGGAGGACTCTGCGGCGGCCAAGGAGTCATTGCAAGGCGCCCTTCTGCGTGGAAACCCCATTAAGATTGAGTTTGCTCGACCGGTTCGTATTGATCTTTGTGCTTCGTTAGGCTTATTTGGTTGTTGTTTTTGTATGATAATTGATGTGCCATTGTGGTTGTTTGGATTTGGAACAAGAATTTTGGGTTTATTTGATTCGAAACCAATTGTGCCTATTATTATTAGTATCCTTATCATCATCCTATCATCATATACGATCCAGTTTTCTGTGCCGTTGAATATCCAGTTTGTTTAGAGGCACAAACAACAATAATTTTAGACATGAAAAAAATGAGATGTATATGTTAAACGTGAGTGAAGATGATATTCAGGTTTCTTAAGTTTTCAGACTGATATATGCATAGTTACGATTTAAGTAGAACTTGTTTTCACGGGATAGGTTTTTAGGCATCTTATTCTAGAGTGTTTAGAATCAATAATTTCGGTTCCAGTGTTTCTAAATGCTGGCAAATGACAATAGCTTTCAGGATGTGAAGAACATTTTTAATTTATCACACCTGATACAAAGGGTAAGATGAAAATTTACATTTATCATACATCCATTGCTAGGAAATGGGTTACGCACTGCAAACCCAAGGGGATTATGAGTTTCCCATCCTCCATTTCATGGGTGCCCATTCTATGTAAGTTAAACCCTTCCCAAGATGTATGTGCACCTAACAAATCCATAACCAACTGCGAAACAGACTTTTGCGATTTAGGTCCCTGCAAATCATCAGATATAATTCCCAATATAATAAGTATTTTGCAGTAGCTTTTAGTTTTTAATTGAAATCGTCTTTAATTTTTTTTTCCCTGGGTAGTGAATTGATTTGAAATCTTATTGTTACCTTCATAGCAGCTTAACAAAATATTTATTCCTCAACAACTCAAACTTGTTAACCGATGTTAGTGAGTGCACAAAGCGGCTTTTCAAGTTCAACTTAACTGAAGCACCAAAAACTAATATCTGTGCACACATCAATCTCAATGAATAAATTATTGATTTCCAAACACAACAGAAGGAATCCCGATAAACATTCCCAAGCTCCAAAACTGCAAAACAAACGCACAACTTTTTGTGTTTGTAGGTCTGTGTGAATCATCCAATGTGACTCCTATATATTAAGCGGATGGCAGTAGCTTTTAGTAACATGATCATTTGATTTGAAATCCCTTTTTGGGATAGGAGATTGATTTGAATCTTAGTGTTAGCTGCACATCTTCTGTATAAAACCTTTAATACCTCAACGCACAACTCAAACTTGTTAGCCAATGTCAACGAATGCAGAAAGGCGTTTTTCAATTTCAGCTTAACTTAAGTACCAGAATTAATATTTGTGCAAACCAGTCTCAGATGTTTACTTATCAAGCTCCAAAACCGAAGGAATCACATAACCATTTCCAAGCTCCAAAACCGCAAAACAAACACTACCTTAGTGTTGTAGGTCCCTGCGGATAATCAGATATGATTCCTATATAAGAAGTAGATGGCTGTAGCTTTTAGTAACATCTGAAATGCTTTTTGTTTTGATAAGAGAAATCTTAATTCTTTGTATCAGATTTGAAATCATTGTGTTACCCCCATCGTCTGTACAAAATATTTTTCACCTTGCTGCACAATTAAAACTTGTTTACCAATTCAGTAAGTGCACAAAGGCGTGATTCTATTTCAACTTAACTTTAGCACCAAAGTTTATATTTGTGTACGCAACAATCTCAAAAGATGACTAATCAAGGTTTGAGGCATGAACAAACCAGATCTGAAAATTCTAGTTTGATGGCTTGAGTTTACTTAAACTAAGCTTCACTGTCTACTTTTCCCACCCATATAACGTATATTTGAAATCCATCCAATTTATGATTTTAGTGTGAGAAGCTGACATGGAGCCCCTTAATTTACAAAGGTTTGGTTTATGTGCACTTCTTTATTTTTCCAAGCTCTTTGCTCAAAATGGATAGGAGAACAATTGTTCTGGAACAAAATGGCTCTGTAATTGTGGATGGTGGGGTACTCTATTCTTCTTGTCTTGCAACAAAATAATAGTTCCAAAACAAAATTCACAAAAATAAATTTAAACAATGGTTAGGGATGACAACATAGTGAAACGTAGGTAGATATCCTCCCCTATGTCCTTGTATTCCGCTTAAGTCTTGGTAACACTTTATCTTACCCTTCACCTATCAGCATCCTTTAAATCTCCATTATGTCTCACCTATTTTGTAAGTGTTGGTAGCAAATCAATGACAAATAAAAGGTTATATGGGTTGCTTCTTATTTAGAATTGCTGCAACAATACTTAAAATGATAGAGGGGGACAAAGGAAGAGTGAAACCCTGGGCTGTTAGATATTTTTAATTATGAAATTATACAAGGCAATCAGATAATCATGTTGAGGGTGAGGCAAGGGAAATAAATTCGATCCAACCTGAACTTGAATTTGGTTAGACTAGAAGGCTCGAACTTGCCTCTCCTTCTATTGAGTTAACGTCTAAACTTCCCCCCTAGGGGGTTGGCCACAATTGACCTGCTATGTTGTATTCTCAAACAAGGTACTAGGATGAGCCATATATGGCATTTGTAAGGGGGGTCATTGACAATAAACGTTGTTTTTTTTGGATAGACGTGGGGAGAAATCCAAGGTTTGATTCATAGGGATGGACAATGGATTGACTGTGTAGCACCTTGTTTGGCTTGTTTGCCCTAGAAGAACAGGAAAGTCCAAAGATTTTGGGTTGTTATTATATCCAGTTATCAATTCTGGCCATTTGGTTTTATGATTGGTCATGACATTCAGTTTTGAGATTTTGTTATTTTTCACGTTGGAGGTATTACAATCTAAAATAATGACCTCAGGACTTATAAATTCCTTGAATCTTTGCTTCATGTGATGCTTACAAATTGCTTTTGATATCTTGTTTGATATCTTGTAATGTAACTCTTTTAGACTTTCAAAACACTGATATCTCAACTGAAATAAATTGTTGAAAGATTGTTAGCCATAATATTTTAGTAATACTTCTACATCCCTAAAATGGCATTAGCCCGCTTGTGAAGGTCTAGCTTGAGTGAGGTTGTTCTCTGAGACCTTCCATTCAATTGATGGAGTTGGTTCCATACTGGTGTATGTCCACTACCTTATCAGAGAAATAATGTCCTATGACAATATTTACGCAAAATGAGCAGCCAATAATTTATTAAGCTTTGACCTGTCGTTATGAGTTGTGGCAATTCTGATTGCTTGGAAAGAACAAATAATGGAGAGTTTGGTGAATATGAGACCCAGCTTGTCATTGAGTACTATATCCTTAACTTTAAGATTGCGTCTTGTTTGACTTTCTAGTTGTGTAATGAAGGTTATGTTAATGGTCCACTTGCTTAAGTTTTTCTGTTCGCAGGCCTGCTTAGTTTTTCCCTTCCATCTGATGAAGTTAGCTCTTATTAATTATCCGTTTGTCCCTTGAGGACTGCTACAAAAGTATTTCAGAAAATTGGAGGAAGTAGATAACTCCTGCTTGTGTTTTGCCCTTAAATATGTTAGTAAAAGGCAACTGGCTAGTATTGGTGACTTGGTCCTAGTAATGTGGGATCTTGAGGGAGATGATTATCCTCTATAATTCTTCTATAATAGGTAGCTGTAAAGAGTAGAACTTGTGCCCTTACATTGACATCATGAGACTTACCATTGCACCGAATTTTTTTACCTTATGTTCTTACCTTTCAAATCATTAGGCCTAGGGATTTGTTTCTTTAACCTTCTCCATTCTCTTACTTAGTAGTGTGTGTCAATTTTTCTTTTACTTAATTGGATAAAGCCATTCGGGGTTGTAGTTCCTTTCCGTAGCTCAGTTTGTGGACCTTGTTTTGCCTTCTCAAAGGAAGGGAAGAGATGCAATATGTCAATCATATTTGTATGTCTTTAGCTTTTCAAAGCATGAAATCTTGCCTATGGTATTGGTTTGATTCTGCATGTTGTACTTCCTTGATAGCTGGCTCATGGATTACACTGAATGTGTTCTTCGCTATGCATGCATTATTCAGTATGTGCTGACATAGCTTGCTTCAAATTTTGATGCATTCACCTTTCCATTGTTTTTTCCCTAATACTTCACAGAATGGTAATACATGTGATTTCTTCCTCTGCTTAGCAACTGTTATACAAAACAGATTTTTAATCTGAGATCACTTTATTTCACTTTTTGTTTATGTTTTCTCCCCGCCTTGAAATAATTTTTACAGACCTTCACATTCTAGACGATCTAAAGTTTGTGGTTCTTACGGACTTCTGTTTACAGGCAAAACCTTGCAAGAATCTATGGGTAGGTGGAATTAGCCCATCTGTTTCGAAGGAAGAACTAGAAGAAGAATTTCTTAAGTTTGGAAAAGTGGAGGACTTCAAGTTCCTTAGAGACCGGAATACTGCATTTGTTGAATATTTTAGATTGGAGGATGCTTCCCATGCAATGAGAAACATGAATGGGAAGCGATTGGGTGGTGACCAGATACGTGTGGATTTTCTTCGGTCACAACCCTCAAGAAGGGTAAGTTTATTGTTTAGAGCTTCAATGGTATTTCTTAGGGACATATGATTGCTGTTATAGGAGTCCGTACATTAGCAGACACTGTTTTCAAGGACTCTTGTTAGTGCTATGAGGACATGTGACACTCACTTCCACCTGAGTATCAATGCTAATGACATTACAATTTACACATATTGGGGGGATAGAAGAAATTTGCCTAACTTAAAAAGAGTGTAGTATCTTTTATAGGGGTTAAACATTTTTGTGGAGATACTCATCGTGGTTGATAAATCAATGATTTTAATATATGTGGTAATTTTCCAAGGAAAGGAATAGTCAAACATCTATATCTATACACATACATGTTTGAATTTTGTTATAATTATATCACATATACATTAGTGTGTTGCAACATGTATTAATGCTTTTCCGTGTGCATGGAAAACCCTCTATGTAGATCCTAGCTTCAGTTGCTTATTAAATGCCTAGTGTTAATAAACAAGTTTCTGGTTTGAACAGGAACAGTGGCCTGACTACAGAGACGGACAGTTTCTGTCCAGAAACACGGGGCCCACTGATTCTCAAAAAAGACAACAGGTGAGTTATAAGCAAGCAGCATTTGGTAAACTCCTACATTGTTGATTGTACTTTGTGGCTTCATGAGAATTATTTGTTAGTTGGCTATGTCACACGAGCTGCATCTTACCTCCAATATTGAACTTAAGTTGTAGACTTTTATCTTTGGTATCCTCAGATCTGATTTATGGTTTCGTTGGTTACACTTGGATAGAAGATGGGAATCTGTATGTGAATTCTAAATGGCAGTAAACTTCTCTCCCTAACTTGTCAGTTGTGATAATTTTATCAACGTTTTGATCATGTTGCAGTATTCTCAATCTGCTGGGGGACGAAAAGGTGACAGTCAACCGAGTAACGTTCTGTGGATTGGCTATCCTCCTTCTGTTCAGATTGATGAACAAATGCTCCACAATGCAATGATTTTGTTTGGTGAGATTGAGAGGATTAAAAGTTTTCCTTCAAGGCACTACTCCTTTGTCGAATTCAGGAGTGTAGATGAAGCTCGGCGTGCCAAGGAAGGGTTGCAGGGCAGGCTTTTCAATGATCCTCGGATTACAATTATGTTCTCAAGCAGTGGGCTGGCCCCCGGTAAAGATTACTCTGGCCCTTATCCTGGCGGCAAAGGACCTAGAGCAGATATGTTATTCAATGAACAATCTCTTCGGCCTTTACAGATGGATATGTTCGGTCATAACCGTCCAATGATGTCTAATAACTATCCGGGAGCTCTACCACCAAGTGGCATTCTTGGACCAAATGTCCCAATGAGGCCTTTAGGTCCTCAAGGTAGGTTTGACCTTTCAGGCCCAGAACTTAATGATTTGGTGTCGCTTCATAATTATCAAGACGGCAATTCCAAGAACCTGATGGGTCCAAACTGGAGGCGGCCATCTCCTCCCACACCTGGTGTCCTTTCTTCTCCTGCGCCTGGTATTAGGCCACACACTAGATCTGCATCTAGTGCATGGGATGTGTTGGATGTTAACCAATTTCAAAGGGAATCTAAACGATCGAGGATAGATAGTCCTTTGTCCATGGAGGACCCTCTGTATCCATTGAGAAAGATGGATGATCATGGATTGGGGTTAGACTCATCTTATGGAATTGGTCCAGTAATAGATGGAGGTGCTTCTGGTCCATCTATGAATGGCCAAGGGATTAGTCCAGCTGGTGCAAGGGTCTCAGTTGGAGGGCCTCCTGATAATGATTATATATGGCGTGGAACTATTGCCAAGGGTGGAACACCTGTTTGTCATGCTCGCTGTGTCCCTATAGGAAAAGGGATAGGAAATGAGCTGTGAGTACAATTTGCCTTGTATCTATTTTTCCCTTTTTCTTTTGGGGATATGTATAGCATACTTTATTGGTTCTACTTAATGCATGTGGAGAGCTTTTACTATGCTAGGGAATTTTTATAGAGTATATTCTTAACTTACAAGACTATGAAATCATGGTGCTGGATCCATGAAATATCAACTTTGACATGATTATATTGGCAATCATTTTTATTCATCCAGTTATAGATGCTCAGTATGAAAACTAACATATGCATTTTAACTGCTATTCTTTTTCTTTTTTAATGTTTCTGAATTTTGAAAGATAGATGTTCAAAATGGTGTGCTTTGGAAGAGGGTCTAGGTGATCTCGATAGAATGGCTTACTGCCCACTTCATAAAAATAATATTGTTATATTGAGGGTGCTATTATTGTCCAAATGCATGTTTTATGACTTTCCCCTTTTTGTATGTAGTGTAGATATAGATATGCCACACTTTCCTTTTCAACTTAATAAGACAATTAACATATAAGGGTTACTATAGTAATCTGATTCATGGGAAAAGGTTATGTGATTATTTATTTGTATAATAATCTTTCCTTTTGCAGCTTTATCTATCTCCTTGTTCAAATTTTTTTCTTCTTTAAGGTTCTACGAGTTTCCAGTTTCAGACTATCTTCCACCCTGTAGAAATGATCTTCGAGTTCACTCACAATCACACGATGCATATGTATTTGAGTTCATTAATAGATAATTATATATATATGTGTATAAATAAACCTAATAACTTGGTTAGACTGTACTTCAAATCCTTGTTATTATTGCTAAAAAGCACTGAACTGCATTCAGATGCTCCACAGAGAATGCAATTTTCATCCTTTCTTCCTTTTCCACCTAGCTGTGTATTTGTTATTGTTTTCCTGACTCTAATTTTGGACTTCACAATTATTTGTTATGTTAACTTTGTTTTGTTAATTTTTTTTGGTGGAAATTTTTTGAAAATAAAACTTACTTCCCCTTACCTTTTAGTGTGACCATTGTCTTGATTGTATTTAATGTGATTTTTTTCTGTTTTGCAGCCCTGAAATTGTTAATTGTTCAGCCAGAACTGGACTGGATATGCTCACAAAACACTACGCTGAGGCCATTGGGTTTGACATTGTTTTCTTCTTGCCAGATAGTGAAGATGATTTTGCTTCCTACACTGAATTCCTTCGTTATCTTGGTGCCAAAAATCGTGCTGGTGTTGCCAAGTTTGATGATGGGATGACCTTATTTTTGGTACCTCCTTCAGATTTCTTGAAGAATGTTTTGAAAGTTGCAGGCCCTGAACGTCTGTATGGTGTGGTTCTGAAGTTTCCACAACAAGTTCCTAGTACTGTTTCTATGCACCAACAAATGCAGCCCATGCCACCTTCACAGTTCATAGATAGACAGCAGATTCTTTCTTCACAAGCTGAGTATAGTGCAATCCCATCGAAGGAGGAACATATTTTGCCTATGGATTATAACAGGGTTTTGCATGAGGACTCGAAGCTTTCTGCAAAACCACCATTTCCACCTACTAGTGAGCCCTCTGGAGTGCAGCCCCAAGACTATGCTTCTAGTAATAGTGCTGCAGTATCGCAAGCTGGAGTTACATTAACTCCTGAACTTATTGCCACTCTGGCGACTTTACTGCCTGGAAATGCACAGTCGTCTGGTCCAGAAAGTGCTAAGATATCAGTATCCTCAGCAGCTAGGCCTTCATTTCCTACATTTGCAACTAATAAAGCATCCTCACCTGGATGGAAACAAGATCAACAAATTTTTGATCATACCGGTAATGCGTTGCAACAGTTAGGTAGTCAATTTAATCCACATGACCAAAATCTTTCACAGTACCAGCCATATCCGCCTGTTCCAAACAGTTCAAACCACTCTAACCCGCTGGTCCTCGGTAGCACCCAATTCCCAGACTCTTCTGTCACCCTGCCCCTACATGCTGCAAGTTCATCCAGACCTTCGAGTAATTTTACGATCCCTTCTCAAGGTGGACAAGTTACTGGATCCTCGCATCTCAACCAGCAGTATCTGGCTGAAGCTCCTCTTGGAACTCAGAAAGGCTTTTTAGCACATGGAACAGATGCCTCTGGGTTGTACAGTTCACCTGTTTCTCAGCACCACAATAATTCTATGACCTTTTCTGGTCAGACTTATGGTGCTAATTCACAGTCTCAGACCTTTGCCCCATTAGTGTCTGAAAAGGTGAACACAGAATACCAGCAGCTTCAGTCTGCACTTCTTGGTGCTGGTCAGAGCGCTCCAGATGGTGAGGCTGACAAAAACCACCGGTATCAGTCTACGCTCCAATTTGCTGCTAACCTCCTCCTCCAATTACAGCAGCAACAACAGCAGCAGCAGCAAATGGGTAGTCAATCCGGGCGAGGATCTGGAAGTCAACAGTGACAATTATTACTCCGTATAGGTATTTTTCCCTTTCTATGACATATACTGTTGAATGAATGTGTTCCTTCTAGAGGAAATTACATCAAAAAGTATGGTTAGTTGGCTAATCTATGTGCTTGCTTTTTGTTTTTCTTTGCATATGGTGAAGTTTATGTGCTAGTATTTGCTTTCTATGAATTGATGCCATAAGTTTAGCACATCTTTCCTAGGGTGTTTGAACAACATGTGATGTGACATTTTTGGCTGCATAGGCTTGCTGCAAGCATGCATGTCAGCTGATTTGTTTGTATATTGCTTTACTTTTGAATGGATGTGCTACTTCGAGAAAAAAAACAAAACAAGTATGGTTAGTTGGCTAATCTATGTGCTTGTTTCTTCTATTTTAAAATTTTTTTTATTTTATAGCAAATGTGAGACTTATCTAGTTTTTGTTTTCTGTTACTTCACGCAATAGGTTTAGCAACTCTTTCTTCTGGAGATTGAACTATAGATAGTGTGACATTGCATAGGCTTGCTGCAAGCATCTGCGTTCAGTCATTTGTTTGTGTCAATGACTTTACTTTTGAATGAATGTGGTCTTCTAGAGAAAATACATCTATTTGGAAGTATGGTTAGTTAGCTTATGTATGTGGTTGTTTCTTTTCTTTGCATATGCTGCAACTTATGTGCTTGTGTTTGTTTTCGTAATTAGTTCCATAGGTTTAGCACATCTTTCCTAGGAAAATAGAACAATATATGGTGTGGCATTTCTGGTTGCTGCAAGATCATATGTGTTGAGAGATTTGTTTGTAGAATCCTGGTTCTGGTTTAATAGACAACATTTTGAATATCAGCGTTGTTCAAGACTGTTCGTGCTTATCTAGACATTTATCTTTTTCTAAGATATGGTGGTGATTTTGGTGGGTGAAATGTATTGTACTTTGCTGCAAGGAGTGAAATGATCTCTAGAAATGTTTGAAAAAATTGATTTTGCTCGTTTTTGTCCACTTTTAAAACGTTTTGGGCATATGCAACTACTCTTCTAAGGAAATGCAATATTGTCTATACAGGATCTTTAGCATAAGTCTTGTTTACTTGGGCAATGCATCCTAGATATTTTTAATATGATTTCTGATTTATAAAAATAAGAAAAAAAATCTATAGATGCCACTTTGAGAGTTTAACCTGGTTATCTCTTCTTTGTGCTCGCTTTGAGAATTTTGTCCTCATAGGTGATTGGAATGCCAAATTCAACCTTTCTTATGTTGCCTTTTAATTAAAATATATACTTATAAATTTATGACCCATTCTTCGATTCCTTAACTACCCGTTCATGCCATGTTTGGAGTTTCTACGCACGAATCATAAGTTCTTTGGTTCGTAACGATCACAATGAACCATCCACAAGATAGAGATAGTACTTTATTAATGCCGTGATAACTATAATGTACGAGTTGATTCCCAGATCAGAAATTCTTTGATTGGGTCCACAAGCCAAATCGAACGCTTACTTTCTCAACCAACCTAATTCGGGGTTACATTCCATGAAGAAGTTATATGATAGAGAGAATGGAACGCCAAATTCATACATCTATTTAATCTTTCTGCTCACTCATTGATGTAATAGAGAGAGAGGGAATTGTCACACATTTATGGCAACTCACCGCTTCATCCGTGTACAAACCATTAAGCCGACCATGGCAATTTGTCCCTTCCATCGATTTCTCAATGCCTAGCACCTACCAAACGCCTACTCAAAACTAAGAGGGGGAGGGATGGAAGAGTAATAGCAGCATTCCAGCCAGCATACCTTTATCCGAGCCAATAATTTTGACATCCTTGAGTTGCCAGCCATTCATAGGTTTTTCCTCGTTTTGGGATAGCCAAAAAAAAGCCGAAGATCGGTAATCAATGCCAGGTGAAGCTGGAACCGTAAGGGCTATTGGGTGGGTGTCGATCTATGCCCCTCGCTTTTATTTCTTGACAGCTGCATAAATGACTAGAATTTGTTTTTCAATTGGAAGTGGTGCATATTGTGGTTGTTTCGGTACTTCTGTAAGCCTTGCACCTCTATTGAGTAATGCCTGAGTCGCAGCATCAAGGTCTCTCCTATGGTCGAGTGAGTCCCTACCTATGGTCGAGCAAGTAAACTACCTCTCTCCGAATTGACATTTTGGTCACCCTCGTTGTACTTATTCTTTCGAAGGATCACCCGTCGACTTCCTTGAACCTTTCATCTCTCCACATCACTGATGAAAGTGTGGGTGCCCACAGTGGTGACTCTACTAGGGATAGAAAAGACTCCAATGCGTCCATGGCTATTTCCAAACAAAGACCCAATTCAATGAGCTTGACCTGCACACACTTGCACTTTTTTCGCCCTATAACCCGGCGGATTCTAGTTTTAAGCTATAACCAATAACATGCATTTATTACAAAAATTAATGTAAAAAAATCATATTACATTCAACAAATTTTAACATACATCGCTTAACGTATATTTATAAAAATATTGATCTAACACCAAGATTGTTCATGCCTTTTAATTAAAATATATACTTATAAATTTATGACCCATTCTTCGATTCAAGGAATGAACAATCTTGGTGTTAGATCAATATTTTTATAAATATACGTTAAGCGATGTATGTTAAAATTTGTTGAATGTAATATGATTTTTTACATTAATTTTTGTAATAAATGCATGTTATTGGTTATAGCTTAAAGGGTGAGGGAATTTATCTCCAATTATAAGTGCACAGCCATAGCAGTTTCTCAACTCTTGGATACAGCTATGGAACAGCAAAAGCAGAAGTAGAAGTTACAGTTATGCTTTCAACAAATGCCCTTTGAGTGACATTTGCAGAGATGAAATCAAAGTCCTCCGTCAAAAACTTTACTCAGTGCAATTATAGTTCTGCGCCATGATGGCTTTTAAGTTATTCTAATCTTATTTTATTGAAAATTGTAAATGAATTTCGTACAATTATAGAAAAACTGTTGAGCACTCTAAGCAGTAAAAATTATTTTCAGATTTTAGTTTCTTAAAACTATAATAGATGATAAATATGAATTTTCATTCTAAGGCGAATTTTTTAATCCATAGGATTGAAGATCATAACAAAAAAATTTACTGAAAGAAAGTTCCCTAGGGATCCTTTTCTATTCAGCCAAAAAGTTGTCTTCTCTGCACTTTCGAATATGCATACTTTGTTTGAACTGTAATTTCTGGCCAAGCTATAATGTTAGTTTGGGATAAAGATTAATAATAATAATAAAAACTTACCTTTATCTTGTTTCATAAACACTTTTTTTGAATTTTTATTTTTGGGCTGGGGGTTCATTCAATCTTATTTATTTTCAGATAAGGGGTCACCTTTAGATGGAACCTATCATCTCCTTCCTTAATTCATATGAGTGAATTTATTATTAGTTCATGTGAGTAGTTTTATTATTAGACTAGCAAAGAGGTAGACAGGATATACATACATATATATATATATATATATTGACTTGGACCAATGTCTCTAAACAAAAATGTTCTCTATATATAAATGATTTTCATATTCCTTTCCAAAAAAAAAAAAAAAAAAAAAAAAAAAAAAAAATACTGTGGAGCATGTGGTTTGGAGTTGTTAAAATTTGTTAGTAGAAATGTTTTCAAGAAATGGTTGTTTAATATATTCAGTATTTGATTCTTGTTAAGACTTTTACTAATACAAAGTATCTATGGAACTTGAGGTCATGGACCGCACAAGCTGTCCCATAACTGTAGAACCTGACTTGAAGTTAACGAGTTTGGGTTGACCATTGCTTGATAGGAACACAAATATGACACGACCCCTAACACGAATAATAGCCGTGTTTAGTTAATGCGAAACATGAGTAGCCCAATTTTGGCACGATAAGCACATTTAACTAGTATTATATAAAGGAAATCATTAGATTTTCCCCTTTTTTAGTATTCAATATATGATTCATAGTATAATTTAAGCTTAGTTTTTATGGTTTTGTTAGTAGCATGATTAAGTAGATTGTTCTTTTACAGGTAATGTATAAGTGATAGATTTGATTCAGCAATAAGGGAAACTTAATTATAAGTTTTTAGTTCACCTTATAAATGGGTCAACCTGAATATGTTACCATTAAAAATGAGTTGCATTAATGTTGAGAGTTGAGTCATTTGTCAGATTAATTAAATGGGTTGGGTTAGGGTTGACTAGTATATTATAAACGAGTTGTATTAGTGTTGAGAGTTGAGTCATTTAACAGATTAATAAAATGTGTTGGGATAGGGTTGACTAGAAGTCAACGTGAACACGTTCCCCTAACACGAATTGCCATCCTTAGTTACATTAACCCTTATTCCGTCTAGTTTGGATCCCGATGAACTACACCTTAATGAAGTGAGTGAATGTGATAGTTGCTCAAGTATTCAATCACTCTCTGTTCCTATGGAATGCTTTTAGCTAAACTAACTCTTAGAATGAATCCTCCCATTGGATGACACTTAACCATGACCAAGACAGTTGGAGCCACTCATGCCCACTTATGGAAATGTGGTATGTGCATATGGCTCCAGCCGGAAGGTTAATTGAAGTAAAATATCTCTTGTTGAACTAGCACTAACGGATATATTCCAAGTTATTTTCACCCCTCTAATTCATACTTGAGATCATATTCACTTTTCCTTTTCAACACTCATGCCCTGAACTTCTATGTTCATGATTTGACTTTATTTCTAAACATGATTTTGACAAAATTAATGTTGCCAAGTATGTTGTGGAACTCTTGGATTTTTCAAGCATATGGAGATAGATAAACAATAAATGCCTCTTATATGCATTTTTTTAAATAAAAAAAGGTCTTCGATGTGCCAACATGAATGTCATGTATTACATCAGAGTTCTGCATTTATTTATGTTAATTAATGATGAAATCTTCGATTTCTAATTTTCTACCAATTCAGAAAAACTTTTGTGTTCGTTGTCTGTTTTTGGTTGTCTAATTTGGAACATTTA